GCTTGGTCGCTTTGACGTTGCTTGGGAATGACCGCATTAAATTAAGCGTGCTCCCCGTCGCCGGAAGCGGGACATTCCGGGGTATCATCTGGCATTGTTATATCATCCCCCCTCCCCCCTCCCCTCAGTACATTCTCTCGGATATGCAACCATACACATCGGGTATAAACCGTGTGATGGTTCGATGGCAAAAGAACGTGATGACTCCAGTCCAGCTTAGGAACAGACAGCTTGTTTTTACTTCCTTTCCAAAGCTGCTATCCCTCTTACCCGAAACGGAACTCGGTTGTTGAAATGTATTGGGCATGCACGATGGACACGTAATATTGCGATGGCAATGAACAGTTCAGCGATTGCACATGCTGCACGCGCACTGAGACATGTGGACATTCCAGGGCTGCTCGCGCCCGCCGACAGTATTGAGGAACAGCACCACTTTCCGTCGGGGCGCTTTGCGTCGACTTTGTGGGATTTTGTAGATCACTAGCTGAGGTGCGGTGTGAAATGACTCAGAATGCTTAGGAGCACGCACAGCCTACAGAAAACGAACGTTATGTGTTGCAGCACATAACAGCAACACATGGCAACACGCAATAACAATAAATGAGCAATGTTAATTAACAGGTGCAATAGCAGGTAACAAAACGAGTTCGACCAACAAACGTGTGACGATGTGCGGAGGGATCGGCCCACCCCGTCTGTAAGCGGGGCCGGTGGGGTGAGTCGGCCCGGTCACTGCTGTGACCTCGTACCGGGACGGACCACCCGTCAAAGCGTCCGCGACACGGGCGTCTCGCGCGGTCGTCGGCGTCGCACGCCTGCGGTGCCGGCTGATCTGACCGATTCCGTTGTCTCCTGGCATGCTGAAGACAGCGTACTCGCTCCGAGACTCTTGACGTCACTCGCCGCGCTGGCCGGCTGCTGTACAACCAGCAGCGCCTGTTGGCGGCCTTTGCACTCTATAGTTCGCGGCCTGGCCGTTGCCGGAAGACGGCGCTAGTGCGTGCTGTCGGGCCGGTCGTGGCCGGCATTCCAGGCGTCGCGCTGCTGCCGCTTTCGTCTGCGCCGCTGCAGCTGGCGCGCCAGTCGGCCGTCGCCGCCCCGCTCGCCGGCGGGACTGCCGCCGGACTCCGACCAGCATCCCGACAGGGTCGAGTCGCTGCCGTCTGGAATAAGGCGGGCTAGGTCACGACAGGTCCTGGCTGGAGCGCCACGTCCTGGTGCGGTTTTGTTCCAGGACGGGGTACAAAATGCAAATTTGTTATCATGATTTTATTTGAGAAAAATTTAATTTGTTGTAATTTCGTAGTGATGACGACTTTGCAAATCCACAGACAGTTCGCAACGCGACGCAGATGGGGCAGCGGCTGCTCTCAATAAGCCATGGCTTAAATCACGCGGACCTATTCGGCAAGCTCCTCCCTCAGGCGCACTGAGCGCCGCTCCGTGGGGCTGCCCCGTGTGGCTTACCGTCCGTGTCGTCCAGGCTGGTCCGGCTCTGTGTGTGGCGTTCTGTGCTCCTGGTCGTTTTGGTCAGCATGGCTGGCGTCTGTGGTGGCGTGAGGCAGTGCCGCTCGGCTGGCTCGGCGCAGGACGTCTGGTGGCCGGCCGGCGCCGCCGCCGCCTATATGGGGACGGCGCTGCGCGGCCGCCGACTGCGCACGTCGGCCTCAGTTTACGTTGAGTCGTCCTGGAACGGCGCTGGCACGCGCGCAAGGCCGAGGGCCGGGAAGGCCCCGCTGGACGGGCTGGCCAGCTGACTGTAGGGCTGGTGTAAACAGCGGCGGCGGTGGTGGTCGAGAGCCCAAGTTCCCCATGAGTGCGGTCGGTCGTTCGATTTTAGCGTCTGCGGAAAAACCGGCTAAGTGTAGCGTTGCATAAGTCCAGAGTCCAGCAGCGGTAATCGATCCACGCCGCAGTCGCGAAGGCCAGCGTGGGGCTCCATGCATCATGCTCATTCGCAGGATATTATGACATTGCATTACGTAAGCAAGGGCTAAACCCACCAATCACTGTGTTGGGCAAATCCGTGCACATTGCTCAGATTACCAAACCGGAAGGTATTTGTAATGAAAAGCGTTATGTATTGATATAACCTGGGTTATTACCACACGAAGTCGACGGAAAAGACCTTCGTTAATCATGTCGTACCGAATATGCTATGCTTATTCTTTTGAAGTTGTTTATTGGTATGACGGTTTGAGTGCAACCAGTTCCCGCTTCCGATCGTATCGTTACGCTGTTATTATCTCAAGATCATGGCTGCTGGTGACGGGTCATCAGTGGTGTGCAAAATGTGACCTCTAAGAAGAATCCAGGGCATCTCACATATGTATTCTCACTCACCAATGCTCGGCTCCATTTTCCGAAATGCCATTGACAAAAAAGTGTCACCACCAATGCCATATATATATATGACATTGGCACATGGCATGGTATAACTATAACGTTGGTACAGCCTTGGCATCAACAGTGGCTGGTTTCACCCTGTTCCGGTGTGGCTCCCCTTTATCCCGTATTCCGCGTAAGGGGTTTACCCAGTCCACCCCCTCCCCTGAGATGTCTGGAACTACCGGCCCTATTCTGAAAATCAAACGGCGTTTGGCTTCTCGCGACAATCTGGATCACCTGGCTGAACACAGCATCTCAATAATTTCTGATCGGTGCAGCGCAGGTGCAGGGGAACTCTAAATTGATGCACTTCTGATCCACACAGCTGTTACGTTTACCAACCGATATCGACGCTACCAACGCAGATCAATGGATAATGATCACGATAGGCATATGTTAAGAGGGGAAACTAACCAAGGGAAACCAAGAGAAACTAGAAAGGAATATGGACAGGTCATTGCACTGTTGGTGATATTGCACCGCGCAGTATTACCAGAATCTTGCATGTATTGGGCAGCCTTGGCCAGTCTGACGGCCCGCGGAGCCGTACACCGGGCCTCCCGGTCGAGCGCCACATCCCGGCCGAGTGGGATCGTGCGGGCGCCACGTCCGTCACGGGCGCACCGTGCCCGACGTCAAGCGAGAGCGGAGAGATGTAGTTCAGGGCCGCCGCTGCGTCCGGCTGTGCAACGGCGTTCGTGAGGCACGACCGGCAGTCGCGTGAGCACACCCGCGTTCGTCGCTCGTCTCGCCGCCCGCCCGGCCGGCCTCGACGGTGACCGGCCGCCCAAGCCCAACGGCGACCGGCCGCCCGAGCCCGACGGCGTCGGCCGCCCGAGCACAACGGCGACCGGCCCGCCCGAGCCCGACGGCCGTCGAACCGCCCCGAGCACAACGGCGACCGGCCGCCCGAGCCGACGGCGTCGGCCGGCCGGCGGCGGGCAGCGCAGCGGCGGCGCGCCTGAGTCACGGCCAGCTCCGCGTGACACGGGTTGGCCGCGGTCTTCCCGCGGCGACCGTGGAGTACTCGGCTGACGGACCGAGATACGCCTAGCTGGAACCGCTCCGCGTGCCGTTATGACAAAGTTATCGGGAACGACATGCCCGCCAGTGGTTTGCATGGCGGATTGTCGCGTCATGTCGCCACGCATCAGTCTTAGTCGTCATGAAGTCGCCATGTCTTCGTTGGTGCCGACGTATAACCGTTAATAAGCCAAGACACTAACACAATATTTCACTAGGATTTCACTAGGATTTCACTATTCCACTGTATCAACACTATTTCAGCAACCTCAGTAACATCGCCTCCACTGTCCCAGAGAGGTGACGTTGCAGTTTTGATGGCAGGGGAGTGTGACAGCTGAGTTTTTGCACAATTGTACTAACTCCACCAATCTGGGTGCCGGTAGTGTAGTGGTCAACGCGCCTCCGTTAACCACTACATACATTTGATACTGGAGTATTTCGCAGGAATCGGTTCAAATTTGCAGGATCCCGTAGAAAATTTGGCATCTCCCCCCCCCCCCCCCCCAGAGCAATACAAAAGCAAAACGGTTTGTCACACATTTAGCCGCCTGCAGCCCCCCATAGTCGAAGTCGATACGCGTATGTTACTCTGGTATAGTGTATTGTGACAAGATCCATGGCGCGGTTTCTGAAAGAAGACATTTCACAGGGGTATAGATGCAATAAGGACAAAAAAATGCTGCAATCAAAATGAATTATTTCACAAATTTAACTCTTCCGTTGACATGATACAATTAGTTGGCTACGAATACATTTCAATATTATCCTACGGCTCGACAAATCTGTGTTTTAAGAAAATCTGAATCTTGTATTGTTTTGGCGCCTTTAGTTGCAATTTTTATTCTGACAATAAGCGATCTTTAAGATTTGGCGCCTTTAGTTGCAACTTTTATTCTGACAATAAGCGATCTTTAAGATGCCAGAGGCGCTGGTTGTGCGGCGTTAGCTGTAATTAAGCGCACTGGTGTGTTGGCACGCGCAATGTGTGCTAGCTTAGATCGTTTCTTTCATTGTGCTAGCTGTACCTATAAGTGTAGAAGTTTCATCAAGGGTGTTTTTTCATTGTCTGCCATTCCTTCCGCAACCGATCTCAAGCTGTCTGCTTTTCTGTCCCTGGGAGTTGTGGTCCTGCTCACTTCTACTTGTGTCCCTCGCCGCATTCTCCTCGCTGCTGTGCATGTCTGCCTGCCGTCTCCCCCCCCCCCGCCCGCGCGGCAGACTCGCCAGGCCACCTCCGTTCTCTGACCTGACCGCCCTGGACCACCGCCGTCCCCTGACCTCGCCGCCCTGGGCCACCGCCGTCCCCTGACCTCGCCGCCCTGGACTACCGCCGTCTCCTGACCCCGACCCTGGACTACCGCCGTCCCCTGACCTCGCCGCCCTGGACCACCGCCGTCTCCTGACCCTCGCCGCCTTGGACTACCGCCGTCCCCCTGACCTCGCCGCCCTGGACTACCGCCGTCTCCTGACCTCGCCGCCCTGGACTACCGCCGTCCCCTGACCTCGCCGCCCTGGACTACCGCCGTCTCCCGACCTCGCCGCCCTGGACTACCGCCGCCCTCTGACCTCACCGCCGTCCGCAGGGCGGAGCGGAGCTGGCGTCGCTGGGCCGACGACGTGCTGGTGCACGCGCTCTCGCCGAACGTGTACCGCACGCCAGCCGAGGCGCTGCAGGCGTTCCGTTGGTTCTCCGAGACCGGAGACTGGGAGCGTCACTTCGCCGCCTGGGAGCGCCTGCTGGTGGTCTACGTCGGTGCCGCCGCCATGTACGGCATCGGCAAGATCCTGAAGCGCCGGTGGGTGCGCGGCGGCAGGGCGCGTGGGGAGGACGTGGGACGCAGTCGGCCCGGCTTTCAGTTGTGATGCTGTCGCGACGCGCTGCGCTTTGTGTTGAGGATGCCCGGAGCACCTCGCCGCCGCAGGTGGCCGCCGATCCCACTTCTGTGACGTCACTTATCGGTTACCCCCGTTGGTGTGACGTCAGAACAGTCTCAGCTAAGCTCAGCGACGAGAGGGCGTACGTGCGGCCGAAGTTTCGTCCCGGCCTTTGAGTGAAGCCGATTTGAGGGGTGGGCCGTGACCCCGTACTGACCGACCTCAAGCTCGGCCGCCGGGCTCCAGGCGACAGCTGAAAGCTCGGGGGCGATGACCCACGCAGTCGAACCGACCAACCTGCTCGCTCTCAGAGTGCGCGTGGTCGGGGCGGATTGACGGACATTGAGACGGCGGCATGCGGGACGCGTAACAGTATTCCCGTCTGTGTACCTGAAATGCTCCCCCTGGGGTGCTCATTGTGTTGTGGCTCTCGGAAAGTTTGGCAGTCGATGAGTGTAGGTTACGGCTCGGACACATCCCGTTCCCTCAGGGCCGGGCCGCGGGCGTTTGTTTCTGAGTTGGCAGTCCTTATGCTGACAGTGACTGACCATCAGCACGTGAAGAGGCGTCGATGTCGCCAGCGCCGTCACCACTCTGGCGCCACCGGCAGGCACAACCTGAAGGACGACGTGCGTGAGTCGCTGTACGATGGCTGCGCCACCTGGGTGAAGGAGTTGCGCAAGCGGAAGACGCCGTTCCATGGGGGAGAACGTCCCAACCTGGCAGACATCTCCGTATACGGCGTCCTCAGCAGCATCGGTCAGTGCCCGCCGGCCGTGGGGAATAGAAGCCCATCGCGGGACTGAATGGGACGTTCAGACGCAGGCACGGTCTGACAAGAAGGCAGTCCAAGATTGGCGTGCGACTGTATTGAAATTTGGCCGAAAAAGAAGACGTTGGGAACATCGGCGCATAGCATACTAACATGACTTTGCTTAGCCCTACGGTACTTACCGAGCAAGGGGTCATAGCCCGACTGTACTTACCGAGCTTGAGGGCATAGGCCGACGGCATTTACCGAACTGGGGGACATAGCCCGACGGTGTTTACCGAGCTTGAGGGCTTAGCCCGGCGATACTTACCAGGCTGGGGGGCATAGCCCGACGATACTTACCGAGCCGGGGGCTTAGCCCGGCGGGACTTAACGAGCTGGAGGGCATAGCCTGGCGATACTTGCCAGGCTGGGGGCTTAGCCCGGCGGGACTTAACGAGCTGGGCGGGGGCATAGCCCGGCGATACTTACCGGGCTGGGGGCTTAGCCCGGCGGGACTTAACGAGCTGGGCGGGGGCATAGTCCGGCGATACTTACCAGGCTGGAGGCTTAGCCCGGCGGGACTTACAGAGCTGGGGGACAGATGTAGCTGCCCCTGGGGGCCGCGGACACGCAGAGAGTTAGGCTATTTGCCGATGGAACGTAGAGTTTTTTTTAGAGTTAATCTATGTTGCGATATGGCGCGTGTGTATTGTATGCAGGATTTTGGTGGTTGTTTTGTGACAGAGCTGACACCTTGTGCCTACCTTTGGTGTCATTTCAGAGGGATGTGATGCGTTCAAGGATATTCTGGAGCACACCAAGATCGGCGACTGGTTCTACCGCATGAAGTCGGCTGTCAACAACCACGAAGGCTGTCGGAGCGTGGTGTAACGTTGCCGACCCCAGAACGCTAGCGACATCTAGTCTCTGTCGCCGTAATCACGATGGCGTCCATCAGCGCGTGGTGGGTGTTGAAGTGTGTCTGTCTCAGAGGATGGTGGCGGCTTGAGCAGGGACCGACCGAGGCAATATGTGAATAAAGAGTGTGTGGTTTGTACGCCTGTCGTCCCTATGGAGCTCACTGTTTGTCTTGTCTCGTGCCACCACACACGTGGATGAACATCGCTGGCGAGCATGCCCACGAATGAGTGCCCCCCCCCCCCCCTGACCGTCCGCCGGGGGCGGCGGGTGGCGCCAGCAGGCGGGGGGCAGGGTAGACTACTGGACGGTTACCGGCAACGCCGCGATAAACACGTCTCTCCCATCAGGCGCTATCCCAAGATCGCAGACCCTGTTCCGGAGTCGTCTGGCTTCAGCTGACTCCCCGTTGTGTCCGGCGCCTGGTTGTCTGTATTGTGAGGCCGCGAAACGGCTGTCGTTTGCATGTCATGAAACTGCAGATTGTTTCTGAGTCTTCATAGAACTCTGACGGCGAACACCGGCGTTTGGAAATCCATGCACGGTTCCCGCTGAGTGGCCACTGTGTTCTTCACCAGATGTGATTTGATAGCCAGTTTTATCCAGTCCCGGATCGCCGTCATGGGCCGCCTATCACAGCGAATGATTCAGCGGCGTAAGGTGTGAAATGCCCAATACACCCGAATAAAGTGATGGTGGTCTTTCATTGAATTGCCCGGCAGTGTTACTGCGTCAAAACTACGGTGTCTGACTGTGGCAAAGGATGTGTGGATCCGTATTCACGGGCGATGCTGGGGTTTCGACGGCCATCGCGCGGGTCTCAAATTGGTGTGGAGACGCAGGTATGTCGCGTGACATATTCTCACATATCTACCGGTTTGAGAGCCCCGCACTACTACCGGAACGCTTGCAAGAACATAATCAAGGAATCAGGCGACGCATAAGCGTTGCCTGATTCGTACGTACCTAGATCCTTCGTTCCGCATGTCATGTCAGAAGAACTGAAAGTCGTGGCTGCGTGCGTCTCGATGCCACTGATGTGTGCCGCATGCCAGCTGCGTCCACAGCTCCCGCAGAGCACCACCGCGCGGGGCTGTGAGTGCACTGGTCATTCGCGACATTGATCCCAGCCAATGGTTAGTCAGTTGGCAGTCGACAACGGATCACAGACGGCTTGCCATTGCTCTCGAGCGCCTGTGCGTGGTATCGCTGCATTGTACCCTGCAATGAGATAGGTCCTCGTCGCCTTCCGTCTGTTCGCGGTCCATCATGTACACAGACGGCATGAGTTGCAAGATAACGCAACCCACATCAACAATGCTGCATTGGAGATATTGCCTTTGAATGGGGACTATTTTTGCGAAGTCACAAAGTTGTGTTCCCAATATTACTTTCCTGCAAGTGTCATTTTCCTGCGAGCTGCAAGGATGAAAACAAAACGTTAAGTTATTAGCCGTCTACAGTTGGAAGAACCCTTGAAATGCATGAACCTCCAACATGAATATTCGATGAAACAGTCGTAAAAACCTGACGATCGACACCAGCCGACCAAACCGATGGCGGTATTCGTCCGACCATGACCACCAACACAAGCCGTGTCGAACATGCCTAATGGGAGTGATGCGGTTCACTCCGCCTTGCGGCAATCAGCGGGGATTTCCATGGCAGACATTATTAGTCGCGCAACTGAACTTACATTCTTTACTCCCGAAGCCGTACACGTCTAACATCGTCTGAAGCCACATGACATCGACCCTGCGTCGGTTACTGACGCCTGATTTCGATGATCGACGCTAAACAAAACTATAATGATGCCCGACGACAACATCTTTCGCCAAGGCAGAGCAAGCAGACGTATTAGACCAGGTATGTATTTTTTCTATTCTGTTTCAGGGAGACTCTGACACCGTAACGTCACTGAGAGATAATTGGGCTAAATCCGAGAGGTAACCTGTATTTAGTGTATTAGGCGCTACTTTTTTCCAGCTCGGCCTCACCGATCCTATTTTGCGAAACTCACTACTATGATAGAGGCATAGCGACCCTGACCCGCGAAAGGTTCCTCACCAGATTATATTCCAGCGTCAGGTATGGGACTTAGGGTTCATTCCCAAGCAAAAATAGGCTGGAATTCGCGATTTACATTGGTGCAGACTCTTAGTCAGTAAGTGGCCCCTGTGTTGATCAGGGGACAACATAGTCCGGCATTGACAAAAAGCTCAGAGTCGACCTGGGATAGTGCTCGAGGAGCCCATGTGGGAGCCGAAGGGTCCCTCGAGACTGATGATCAAGTTCCCGATTGGAATGTACAAGGGCTGAGCCGGGCCATCAAACGTCAGATAGGGGGGTCTTTTGCACCGATTGGGGACACCCTGTGACAATGTGGGTCTCTATTTCGATCAAATGCCACCAACACCGAACAGTCGGCTCCGTGTCGGTCTGAGCCCTGAGGGCCCTTTTCCTAACCGGAGACAATGTGGGAACCCGCTTTTTGCATTGGCCGGGACCTTTAAAGCATCGAGGGTTTCTTTGCTAGTCAGAGACCCACAGTGCCTAAGGGAGGGCCCAGTTTTTTGCAAGTGGCCTCGAGTCGGTCAGGGCAACATCTGTTGGACAGGGACAGGGACGGAACCCCGAAAGCCAGGGGCCTCTTGCGTTGTTCGAGGCCGTTTGAGAACGAAAGTAGAGATGGGAGCTAACTATGTGAGTTCATAACGCAATAGCGGAAGGCCCTTTGTCAAGCAGGGCCCCGGTACCGAATGGAGGGCTCTCCATCCCATTTCAGCCAGGGATCCGTTATGCCGAACTGCAGTTTCCATGCTAATTATTGGATACCTGCGACCATGAGGCATCTTTCGCATCACTCAGGACCCTTGCGTCTATTTGGGAACAAATGGTCGGATCGGGGGGTCTCCGACGTCAGTGGGACGACCAATGTGTGATGAATCCCTCGAAGGGTTTCCGTACTGACCACGGCATCCCGCCCGTGTCACCCGTATGACAGCCGGCAGGCACCTCACGCTGTAACCGTGTGGCCCTGAAGCCCCTGGCTGGGAAACAAAATGTGCTGTCTATCGCTCTAACCCCCGGGTCCCTCGCCCGGAAAAAGAAAGAGGTTTCCTAAGTGTCAAACAGGACGAATTGCAATGAGGTCGAAAATTAAAATGACCAACATAAACAAGGTGCTCATCCCCGTTCAAGATCACCATGTCAAACAAATTGCAGAGAGCAGTTTTGTGGTTGCGTGCTTACAATCTTAGGAGCAACAACACCAATGCCCTGGGTTGTAGTTTCTATGAGACCGAGCGGCGTTGGCCACTGCAGCTAACACCGAGTGGTGGGCGCCTGGCGCCCGGGAGCAGCCAGGGTGAAATAATGCTGTCAAACATCTTCGAAAACAATGCCTGCCGTTGATAACATCGATAACGGCTTTATTCAACTTGAATAATTTTGAGCTTATCCTCTGAAGAGATAAACAACGACAGCAACACGAAAATAGCGGTTCTACCTTTACTTGTCTAGTCCTGCCATCAAATTCTTGCAACGGTCCCCGTTGCTGTAAATGGCAATCCGTTCATATAAACAAATATACAAATTGCACAGATGAAACATACTCCTGGTACACCTTCCAAGCGTTACAATTCACATGCTAAGGCGTTCAAAGGTACTTCCTTCAGAAACGACCAATGTATGAAGCTGAAGGGGCGCAGTTACAACTCTCTCTTGCATAATGAAAAATGGAAGTGCTGTATAAATCCAAAACAGGCTAGTTTGAACGCAAATTTACGACCTTACCTTGATCTGAGGTCTACGTTCACGATGCCCATGTACAGCCCAGAAAAAAATCCGAAGCGGCCCCTGATTGCTACCGGCTTAGGAAGAGTCGTCAAAATTCAAACGGCATTACATCTTTTGGTGACTCCTGGCTTTTTAAGTGAGAGGGCTCCCCACAAAATCAAAGGGGCCATATCCGATGTCTTTTTTTGGGTAAGGGCCTTACTCAGGGGGAGTGCCTGGTCAGTCCTGTGTTTCACCCTACAATTAGTACCAAGACTCTTTTGCGTCCCTGCGTCGGTACGCTTATTGAGCACCGAGTATTCGCGAGTAAAGATCCTCCCATGGTAACGGAGAAGCCAGCCCAACTAGCAACGTTCTTACAATAAAGCCGCATTACGCATGACATTGACACGACGAGTGTTTCATTTTCCACACGCTCCAAATGAAACGCATAAGGGCTGCTTTCCTTTCAGTGGCACAAGCATCTCGGAACAGTGTCCTCCAGAGGCACAGCTGGCTTACATTTCGTCTTTATGGAAAGAGCGGGGATTTGGGTCTCTCACGCGTAGCCTTCTCAGCAGGAGGGTATCTACCCAAGCGTACTGGCGGGAAGGTTGAAATTTATGTTCTTAACTTATGCGTGGAATGAACATTTACAGAATATCACATGAGTTCGCTATAATTTATACTTATTAAAATGCATTTGTATTATGGATGGGATTTTGGTGTGTTGAGAGCCTGGATATAGGCGAGTTATGATGGCCACATATATTGTGGACACTGGACGTTTCTCATAATGAGGATTTATACAGCACTTCCATTTTTCATTATGCAAGAGAGAGTTGTAACTGCGCCCCTTCAGCTTCACAAAACAGGTGCCTTTATAAGAAGCAGATGTAACCTGCGAAATTTCCATGCATGATTGCTGTGACTGCGCACATGCGCCTTACAAAGATATATGGGCGTGGTACACACACACACACACACACACACACACACACACACACACACACACACACACACACACACACACACACACACACACACACACACACACACACACACACACACACACACACACACACACACACACACACACACACACACACGCACACACACACACATATATATATATATATATATATATATATATATATATATATATATATATATATATATATATATATGTGTGTGTGTGTGTGTAATATGTATGTAATTATATATATAATTATATATATATATATAATTAACTGATAGCTTGAGCATCAGACACGGAATCCGAGAAGCCTGCGTCCCCTCGCGACGACTTCCACGAATCTGCCCCCCTAACCATTTTCAGAAACTGACACCCCTGGCTGTGTAAGATGTAATGCAATTGTTCACAACATTTGTAATATGATATGATCTAACCCGTGCTTAATCGGTGTTAAGTTACGCGGCTCACTCCGTTTACCAAAGCGGCGTAGATTTGCAAAATAAGTTGGGGGGGGGGGGGGGGGCTGACCAGGAAAGATGGCAGAAAATACCTTCCAAGCGCATAAAAGCAAGTATCTCCCCAATTCTGACCGACTTTTTATATTTTTTATACGCATACCATACACTTTTCTCTCACATTTGGGCGAAGAACTTCCATTCTTCTAAGTGAAAACGAAACGGTATGCCCTTGCTTGCATGTTTAAAAGCATGCAAATGTTGCGTTTGAAGCAGCCTTATGACATTTTGAGCTGTGTTTAAGGTTACTGTCTTTGTAAAAAGGCGAAGAGGTCTACTGAATTTGCTATTTTTATTTGTTGTACTTGCTATAATTTAGATCGAACGTTGCTAGAGATATTTGAACTTTAGATCCGAAAACCAGTGACGTCAAATTCAGAACAGTGCTGTTTGAAAGACCATTATTCCCCTTTTTCTTATTCTGGAAAGCAGTGTTCGTAGACGTAAACCGGCGCATCGGTCAGTATTCCGGCGGGTTAGCGAGGTCGGTGGGCTGCTGCTGGTTGCTGGTGAAAACGATTAGGCTTCACGAATTTTTGTCGCCTTTACATTTTTCATCGTGCTTTAACGGGTTGAAAAACTTCTCACACATTAAACTTTCTGTCCCGTGGTGCAACGTCTTGGTTGGCAACTAGATGACGAAGGAAGGATCAGCAGGCGGAAACACTGGCCAAATCGCCCATCACATCCACGAGCTAAGTGTCGAAGATGAAGAGAGACTCGGTAACCTCTTCAAACAACTCGACGTTAATGGTGATGGAAGAATCGACATCCACGATTTGTCCGTATCACTTCGTCGTATGGGGATCCACCAGATGCCAGGACATGCTCAGGTAAGTCCTTTTTATGGCAACCTGTGACCCACTAAGATAAAATTAGGTGCGGGGTGTGGTTTCAAGTTGTGATGTCCCCTTAGTCCGAAGGCTCTCTGCAAGCTGAGTTCAGGTTTACAAGTGAAGAAGATTCCCTTATGGAAACTTACTACATGAGATGCAGAGGCAAATTGGTCCTAATCTGCCAGGTAGTAACTCACTAGCTTAATGTTGGTCTAGGAGCTTTCTTCAAGATAAATGTTTCTGGTTGAAGCTGTGGCCACCTGCTGAAGCTCCAGCAGTTTCATGTTCACACTCAGCCAAGGCAGGACTCTTCATCAGAGTGTTGTTGGCCTTGATTAGTTCAGATGATAATGTGACATGTATTGTTATACATAACAATATAAGCAGATGGAAGGGTTGAATGGATATGACTCATCCTCAGGTCCATCAGACCCTCCATATATAAGGCATTACCCTGGCATTAATGTTTTCTCCAGTAGGCAGGAAAACTTGGTTATCCACAAGGTTACCAAACTCTAAAACCTTTATGCTGATGTGGGTCTGCATGGGAGCATAACACTGTCTTGGGAGAGGGTAATCAAGCATCTCCCACTAACTGCAGCAGGGAAGAGAGACAAAGTGACAGATGAGGCATTGTAAGAAGCTTGTGTGGTTCCTTAGAATGTGTACTGGAATTGTTTATTGATGACATAATTGGGAGTGTTTTACGAAACTACCATCATGTTCCCACTACTTGGCATGCATATGCCCAAATATCTAATGTTAGTTCATATATCCAACAGCAGCTGAAACACAAATTAACTCAGGTGATTCCATGTATTATTAGCTGAGGAACCTGGTAAGTCATAAAAGTGTATTTGGCTAATCAATGTGCATGGCTGGCACATGGATCAAGGTCAGCAATGTATCACATGTGTTGCACATTGGGATAAAACTAATGGTGGTGGGCTGTGATGAACATTCTGGGCAATACATTCTGTGCTGGTGACAGAGCAGCACTGTCTGAGCAATAGGCAAACAGGTATGGACAAACAGTCTTACAAATGGTATGGATTTTCCCAGTGCATGAGTGTTGCCAAAATGCTGAAGTAATAATAATTTGATGATGGGTTTTTTGTATAATTTGTTTAGTTCAGTTGAAGAAATTATTACTATCAAATCAAGAAGTGAATGTCCCATGCCTTTTGCAACTAGAGGGAGATCACCAATAACTATGGGTAGAGTCAGCTTGGGTCATCCACCCCATGGTGACCTCAGCTGGCTACTTGAGGATCAAGTTATGACAACACTGACAAATCTCAATACATTTCAGACACTTTGATATGGTGTCATGCACCAAAAACATGGAGCTGCACAAACTTATGTATCCATTAAAAATATGTCACCATTGCAGATACATGCCTTCGCCAAGGTGGTGTTGGTTTTGAAATGACCCCTAAATTGTGCTATGTTCCATGACTATCTATCAAAGGTGTGCATGATGTCCCGGCCATATTTTGAATCCTGGGATGCATGTTGGTTTGTGTAGGATGCCAGTCTGAAAAACATATTGGAAGAATAAGCTTGTCGAGCTTGGTGCGCTGTGCCAGTGACAGTGGTCATTGTGAGCTGATTTATTTGGTTATATTTATGCAGAAGACACTTTTACAATGATTTTTAAAAATACAACACACATCCAGTGCCCAAGAGAAGAGATTGATCTGGAACCATCTATGGTTGTGGTCAACTAACACTGTTATTGATAGTGAAGAACTAAGCAAGGATGCTAGATGTCTGTATAAAATGAATGGGTGTAAAAAGTGAGGCAAGCCCAATCTGCTCCAGCCAGCAGTGTGCAGTGCAGGACAGGTGGATGGCCACTGCCGCTCACCTCCGCACGCTTGCAGCCAGGGTGGGCGGACGTCCTCCCCCCCCCCCCCCCCCTCCCCCAGCGACGCAGGAGATGGGGCCCCTGAGGGGTCGGCGACAGACCGCACGGCTTCGGTGAGGGTCAGCGCTGGCGGGGCTTCGCTGACCTTGTGGCCGCAGGCGACGACTGGGCATTGGTCCGATTTACCCCGGAGTGTTTGGAGAGGCGCCTCGCAGTGCGGCGTCGGCGCCGGGGGCGGGAGTATGCCGAGCGGTACCGCGTGACCGGCGCCGCCGTTCCTGAGCTGGTGGCCGATGGCGCCGCTCTGGCGTCAGCCCTGGCGCCGAGGCCAATCAGCGACCCTTGGGTGCCCTCCCCGGGACTGGTGTGAAGGTTGCACGGACGAGCCGGGTCAGCCCTGCCCCCAGCGTACGATGCCGCCTCAACTGTCCTTCTGTCACTGCTGACCCACAAAAGTGTTTTCGCCGTCTGCCAGGCCTATTGCGGCTGTCGATCACGTGATGGTTTGGCGACCCGTTTCGCGGGCCGGATGTGGCCCGTCGTCTGCGGGGAACCAATGGGCCGATTACGTGCCGGCGTCGGAACACCGGCCGCCCCTGCCCTCAGGGCGCTGACCGCAGACCGGATGTTCGGTACGTAGCGCGAGTGCACTGCGATCAGCGGAACGCTTCGGTAATTAAGGCGGGGTATTTGGCTTGTATTATGCTATTTTTACGAAGTGTCCACGGTATGCAGGCACAAACACCACGTGCGTTTCTGTCGGGGTCTGCTGTCGATGCGCGTACGTCCCCGAGTGCAGATAGTGGCGACTGTTTCCGGAGCGTGCCGCCGGATGTCAGACGGTGTACAGCCGTCGGTTGCATGGTCGTTCAACCCCGCAGCGGCGCGCGTGTCGGTCCCGGCCGCCTGGCCGTCGGATGCCAGACGGTGTACAGCCGTCGGTTGCATGGTCGTTCAACCCCGCAGCGGCGCGAGCGTGTCGGTCTCGGCCGCCTGGCGGTCGGATGCCAGACGGTGTACAGCCGTCGGTTGCATGGTCGTTCAACCCCGCAGCGGCGCGAGCGTGTCGGTCTCGGCCGCCTGGCGGTCGGATGTCAGACGGTGTACAGCCGTCGGTTGCGTGGTCGCTCGACCCCGTAGCGGCGCGAGCGTGTCGGTCCCGGCCGCCTGGCCGTCGGATGCCAGACGGTGTACAGCCGTCGGTTGCGTGGTCGCTCGACCTCGCAGCGACGCGAGCGTGTCGGTCCCGGCCGCCTGGCCGTCGAATGCCAGACGGTGTACAGCCGTCGGTTGCGTGGTCGCTCAACCCCGCAGCGGCGCGAGCGTGTCGGTCGGTCCGGTCGGTCGGTCCCGGCCGCCTGGCCGTCGGCGACGGACCGGATGTGGCGTCTGGCGCAGCACAGCGCTACGCTGGCGGCGACCCCCAGGAGGTGGTCGCCGCCAGTCCAGTTTCGTTCATTGGTGGCCAGCTCGCCGTGCTGTGCTGGTTTTCTGTGTTTTTCATGGACAGGCTTCAGACCGCTAGGCGGCTATGCGAACAGGCCGGCTGAGCGTGAGCTTATAGGACGCGCCGGTTGGATTGACGAGCGACAGGATTCTCGTGACGCAGTTGTGGCCGCACGCGGCCGAGGCGCGGCCACATGCACCACCAGCGCCCAGCTGGCATCGATTTCGGCTGCGGAAGCATGTTTCGTGGTCCCGGCGTCGACCATTGATCGCCGTCGGCCAGACGCCGGGAAGAGGGGAGGGACGGTGGGGGTAGGGTCACCCCCACCGCCCGGACGGTCGGCGCGGGGACTGGTTGGACAGCCTCGGCGCAGTGCGTCTCGGCGCTTTGCTGAGCGCCGCGCGCACTGGGGCCCCGGCGCGGTGCGTGTCGTCCCGTTCTCGGGGATGCTTGTAGCGTACTGTGAGCAGCTTCGGCAGCCGCGCCGCCATTGGCCGACTCTCAGGGCTTACAGCCGCCATATTATGCGTGGCAGTCACCAGCGTGCTATATGCGGACCCAGCCGGACGTGCTTATGGCACTGACTCGGATGACGCGTGGTATTCGGGCGGCGGCATCGGTGACATTTGGCATTCGGGGTCGCGTGTTTGCGACCGTCCGACCGACGCACATGTCCGCCGACGCGTAACGCCGGTCCACGGCGAATCCACGCAGTCGACATCACACGGTAACAGCCGGGCCGCCGTGGATTCGTGACGCGTCGCAGCGCGAGTCTGCCGCGCCCGCGAAGTCCGCCGCGTCGCGGCCTCTTGCGTATGGAGTTTCGTGACCGCGACGCTCGCCCCGCCAGCATCCGCCCCGTCCCGACCTTCCGCCGTCTGCCAAAAACGCGCGCCGCCGTCAAATGATACTCCACGGGCGCGGTGGCGGCAGCGGCGGCGGCGGCCTGGCGGCTGGCCGGCCCCGCACTGCGCACTGCGTCGCGCGCGTTTGTTGACCCCCGGGGGCATACGCGGCGGACGGGGCCTCGAGATACGTCTGGAATCCGGGTCACAGGTGGTGGGCGCCGATGTGCGTTGTTGTGCTGATGCTCGGAGGATAGAGCTCATGTCGTACCCTTCGACCAATGAAGTGCAGTTTTTTTTTGTCTTCAGAACTGGTGCCGGCTTCTCATGAATGGGCTGCGGGCTGGCGTTCTCCTTGCTCTTAAATGCTCACTAGTTTCTCTAACGGCATGCCGTGAGCTGTGTTACTTGGCTTGCTTACAACTGGACGGCGGAGGAGTCACGTGGGGCACTGGATTTCCCTGAAGGTCTCCGAGCAGATCTTCGCCGAATTCATAAAGATGTGTGAGTCCGGCGCAGCAACCGAATCCAGAAGTTCAAGAATAAGCCACGTTTTATTAATTTCACCGCTATGAAAAGACGTTGCTCGGCTGCCTCCCGTCCTGCGAGTCCGCCCTTAGAAGCTACAATTTGTCCCACTAGGCCTTCGTGCGACCTTTGGACTCGGCGCGGACGAAGGCTTTGCCCATGTCTGGCTTGGCGTTACAACACGTCCCCTGTCATCGGCCGTGGGCCTGCGGCGGAACCATGCGAGCAGTGTGACATAGCGTTGCATGGCCTTCAACCCGCCAGTGCTTGTAGTTGCCAAAAGCGTTTTCAGTGGTAAGTGATTATCTTTCAACACGAAAAGAAACGGGCAAGACAACGATTTGCCGCTGGTAGTTGTTAATGTTTCGAGTTTGAATCATTACTCTTGCATGAGTCTGCCGCATTGTAACGCCGCTGCCTCGAAGTTGGCTAGAGCCTGCGTCAGGCCCATTGCTATGTGAAACATATGGTAGCTTTTGGGAGCGTGATGGCACTCACGCTCGCATCGCCAAACCCAGTTTGGTGTGCATTATTGTGATGGAAGCACGTGACTTGTGCAGCCGTCGGGTGACATCAGTGTGTTCCCATATGTCGACATCAAAATTGTGACTGTTGGTTTGAGGGCCAGCTGTATTTGCCCCCCCCCCCCCCATCAGATTATATTTCCTTTGTCAGCTCACAGGTATAAATTCCGTTGTTGGCAATTTGGAATGCCTTCATTGGGACACTCGATCGAGTCTGGCAATGTCGCATGATTGTTGAGCCCCTGTTTCGGTCACCCGGCTTTGCTAGGCGTCCCTTGTGGTGACAGCGGCATGCATGAAGCATGTCTTCCGCTCGTCCATAATACAGTGTATGTGGGTACGGCTTGACGGGGCTGGTGGGGCGCCGCCGGCGGTGGAAAATCACCAGTGCGACGGCTGCATTGTACTAGCACGCTCGCTCCCCCGGACGCCGCGTGGTCACTTAAGTTGCGGCATTTTTGCAACTGTTTGTAAACTTGACTCAAGTCATCAAGCGTGGCTGGCGCGTCGCGAAGAGACCTACAAACAGACAAACAATCGCTGCACAGTCGGCAGGGCGACCGTGTCTCTGGCGGTCCCTCACTTGCCACCCGAGCTGGCTGGCTGGTCGCCTGCCGTTGCAACATCGCGACCTTGAACGCCCTCGCCGGAGCAGGTCCCCTCCCCCTCCCACCTGAAAAACAGTGAATGTCAAGATCACGGCCACGGCACGCGGCTGAGGATGTCTGCGTGCGACGGCGTGGAGAAGTGGCCGGGGAATGTCATGGCTGCTCCCGGCACGGAACCTCTTGGCTCGCAGCTGTCTTCCGGCTGCCAGCTGAAAGCGTCGTAGGCGAACACGGCTTGCATGGCTCGCCCTGGAGTCAGGCCAGCGGTGGGCAGCGCGACTCCATGCAACACATGTTCGGTGCAGAGAGCGCCAGGCGGAAGGGTCCAGCGTGACCTCTGGAAATCGGCCTGCGCCGCGGCACTGCGCGCTTCAGAGTGACGTTAGAGCCGCTCTGTGCTGAGAACTCTGCCGCCCTGCAGCGCATGATCGGCCTGCGCCACGGTACTGCGCTCTTCGGAGTGGCGTTAGAGCCGCTCTGTGCTGAGAACTCTGCCGCCCTGCAGCGCATGATCGGCCTACGCCGCGCACTGCGCTCTTCGGAGTGGCGTTAGAGCCGCTCTGTGCTGAGAACTCTGCCGCCCTGCAGCGCATGATCGGCCTGCGCCGCGGCACTGCGCTCTTCGGAGTGGCGTTAGAGCCGCTCTGTGCTGAGAACTCTGCCGCCCTGCAGCGCATGATCGGCCTGCGCCGCGGCACTGCGCTCTTCGGAGTGGCGTTAGAGCCGCTCCGTGCTGAGAACTCTGCCGCACTGCAGCGCCTGGCGAATCAGATGGGAGCAGTGTTGTGGGAGGTCACGCCGCCCCACAACATGGCAGCTGATGTGGCGGCCGACAGCTGAGTCGGTACTTCCGCCGGCGGTCTCCGGGGGCGGCCCGGCGGCGGGGCGTCGCGGCCAGGCGACGGCGACCTGGGGCTGAGCGGCGCCGCTCGGCTCTGCTTGTTTGGGCGGGGTGGCCCGACCGGGAGCCAGAGTCCGGTCTGCTACGTCACACGAGCCTGGCGTGGACAGGGTGGGCGTGGCGCTGGCTGGAGGCATCCAGATCCGTGTTCGTTTGGTGATGAGGAAGCTTGTGGCCGAGTCGTGCGGGGTCCTTGGTCTGCAAGAATGTACACGTGTCATGCCGCATGATATGTTTGCATCTCTCGTGTGTCCCGGTTCGAGAACCACGTATAGCGCGAGCGCTGTCTTCCACGAGAACCCTGCATCACGTAACTTCACGCGAATTTAGATCCCTCCAGCGTCTGTTCCCTCCGTCCCGCACGCTCCCGAAGGCGGCAGTGGGGGCATGCTCCATCCTCTAGCGTCTGTTCCCTCATTCCCGCACGCTCTTAAGGGCGGCAGATCCTCCGCTGTTGCCCAAAGGTGACCACGGGAAAGGTGTTGCGGGGATGCACCGAGTGGTTTGGTCACGAGAGTAACCGGTCTGGGGCCGTGCGGTCTCCTGACAGCTCCACGCCACGTGACCGCTGCATGCTGGTCAGCATCGCCAGTTGGCCGGGCGAGGGAGGCGTCCGCCAGGAGGGCTCGTCTCGGCCCGACCCGGTGTTTATGCAGATGGTGGGGCGGCGGCGGCGGCGGCGGCGGCTCGTCCTGTCCCGTTAGCGGAGCCGGCCAGCTGACGTGGACCGACCGCTCAGCAGCCAGGCGAATGGGATGGCTGATGTTCATTAGCCTGTCCGCTGGTCCGGCAGATCAGGTCGGATGTATGGTACAGCCTAGCAGGCCAGGCGGCTGCGGCTGACTCGTCGGCCAGGCGTGGCCGACTCAGCCGAGCCCAGCTGACCGTGACCGTGGCCGTGACTGCGGCTCCTCGCGTGCTGCAGCCGACGGGTCGGGTTTGGCCGGCTGTGCGGGGTTACTGGGGTGTCGGCTGCCCGGTTCTGCGGCGCCCTCCACCCGGCGGCTGTGCGCAGCGGTGGCAGCGCCCGGGTAGTCATTACGGCATCGCCACGCGAGCCGAAATTACCCCAAACGTGGTACGTGCACGAGGAGCCAGCCCGGCGGCGGTGGCGGCCGGCCGCGCCCCCGAGCGCCCTGCTCCGGCGCCGCGCACAGGCCGGCGCGTGCGCCGGTGCCTGGCCGGCGGCGCGGCCAGGCCTCGTGACGAGTCGCCGGCGAAGCGGTGTTGTGGCAGCGCGCCAGCTGGGGTCCGGCAGTCGGCCGGGCACAGGGTCAAGGCCTGGAGAGAGGGCGCGCGCGCGCCGCGGACTGGGGTACCATCGACCCGGTCACGGTAGTCACGAGGGCGGGGCAGCGTCCCGGTGCAGGTGGGGTTACGGCACTGGTCGCGTCTCAGCTGTGGTTTACAGGCGGGCGAGCCGCGTCCGTGCCGTGACCCGCCGCCGGCTCCGGTGCTGGTTGGCACGCCGGGGCGGTGGCGGGCTCGGGCGGTGCTCCGTCGGCTGGCGCTGTGATCAGCTCGCAGCACCCACGCCAGAAATGTTGTTGGCGAGCATCAGAACACTCCCCGGCTGATGGCCGCTGTGCACGTTGCCGCCGTTCACAGGGTAGGACGCGGCCGTCAGCGAGGCACGGTTGCCATGACCTCCCCCCCCCCCTCTCTTTCCACGTCCTCGCCCCAGGTCGAGCGCTCGGGACTGAGCTTACCTGAAAATTCGGGCGCCCGCTGGTAGCTATGGCGCTGCTCTCATTTTGTTTATTGATGGCTGTTACATTGATTTTTGTCCGTTTGGACAGTGAAATGTGATTTCGTGCTGAGAAACATCTGCGAGTCATCATGTAGTTGTAGGGCCGCGGTGCTGGTGTTCTGCAGCCTGTCACGCGCATGTCCGCTGACCAGGAAATGCGCGCTGGTGCCCGCGTATGGGCTTTTCGAGATTGTGAAATCGCGGAGTGCGTAACTGACTAGTCGAACTGATACCAATGACTTGGAGTACTATGTTGTGGATGTCATGCTGAATTACGCGTCTTGAAAGCCAGATAAAGCTATTTGAAATGCCAAGTCGGGCCAGACATGTGTTATCGGTGATCCGCAAACAGAACTCTGGAGCGGTGGTGCCCGTTCAGTGCGATTAACGCGGTACGTTGTGCACGTGGCTCTGGTGTCGTGAATTTTGCAGTTACATGATCACTCGATGTTACGTAGTGTTTCGTTCTGCGTGATGGAGCAGTATGTGCTTAAATGTTTATATTTTGCTGCAATGTAGTCCTCACGCCGGCAAATTCATAGGAAGTCCACCCGCCACGCTTTGGCCACGGGGTTTGGTTTGGTTTGGAAATTTACGAAGCATTCTCCAGTTTTCAATCCCGGATGTCTCTACGTACAAGTCTGGTACAGCACTCGAATGGCCTTGACTGCTCCCCGTGCGCCAGTAGTTTGCCCGCTACCTGTGTCCGTCAGTGGTACCGTGCCCGCGTCGTGCCTGTGACCGCCACTGGTGCCATGTCCGCCGCTGATGCCGTGTCCGCTGCTGGTGCCATGTCCGCCGCTGGTGCCGTGGCCGCCGCTGGTGCCGTGACCGCCGCTGATGCCGTGTCCGCTGCTGGTGCCGTGTCCGCCGCTGGTGCCGTGACCGCTGCTGGTGCCGTGTCCGCCGCTGGTGCCGTGACCGCCGCTGGTGCCGTGTCCGCCGCTGGTGCCGTGACCGCCGCTGGTGCCTTGACCGCCGGCATGCCGTCGCTTACCAGGCGCGCTCCCCGTCCCGCAGAAGTTCATCGAGCGCTCCGACCAGAACAAGAGCGGCGACCTGACGCTGGCCGAGTTCGTCTACTACGTGCTGGAGCACGAGAAGAAGCTCAAACTGGTCTTCAGTTCGCTCGACCACAATAAGGACGGTGAGTGGCGCAGCGTGGATAGCGCCTTGTGCCCGATCGGTGCCTGCTGGTGTCGCATGTGCTGGCCCGGTCCCTGCTGGTGGCGCTCTCTTTGGTGGCGGTTCGTCTGGTGTTGGACATACCCGCTTGGCCCCTGCTGGTGGCGCTCCCTGCTGCTGGTTTCCCTCTGGTGTCAGACATGTCCGCTCGGTCCCTGCTGGTGGCCTCCCTCTGGTGCCAGACATGCCCCCTTGGCCTCTGCTGGTGGCGTCCCTCTGGTGCCAGACATGCCCGCTCGGTCTCTGCTGGTGGTTCTCCTTCTGCTGTCCCTGTACCACGTCATGCGGGCTCAGACTCCTCGTCCGTAGACGAGTCTTCACTTGGATTTTCAACGGGCTACACATGTGTCAGACAATCGTTGAGGAGACCCACTGCGGATTAGTTTGGAGCGATGAGATTCCTCGGGCCCGGCGGGCACCTACTGCGCACATGGCTGATGGTGGGGGCCGCGTCAGTCGTCGCTAGGACCAGCACAGCGGGCGTCGTCAGTCGGTGGGGAGCGGCTGGCCGGGCGTCACAGCCGCTGGCTGCCCCTGTAGGATGTGGCGTGTGTTCTAGGGTGGTTTGGTTTTGGTCGTGGTAGGAAGGGATCACGTTGGCTGTGTTGTGTTAGGAGTAAATTGGCCTACGACAATGTATTCGGATTCGAAAACTGTTAGATATTTGCTTGACTTTCTCATAATTTTTCAAGAATGACAACCACTTCTAGGAGCATAGAATTCGTCAAGTTAGTGACCAGTCTGGTCGCAGGCCGGCAGGGGCCTTCATATACGGTTGTTACCGTGTGCTGGTAACAAACGTAGCAGGTGTGGGAGGCTCTCCTCGGCGGCCTCCGCAGCCTTGCGTGCGTTCAAACGCACACGCATACAGACAGTCACGCTGGCCGGCACACACAGCCTGCGCTTGGCCCTTTCGGGTCGCACCCCGCGCCACGCTACTCAGGCGTCACCCTTCCGGATGCGACCGGCGCGAACACAGGCCCTTCCCTCCCCTCCGCCGGCCTCCCCCTCACCCCCTACAGCAGACCAAAATAGCCTGCGCCGTCCACGCCACAAAGGTCCAGTCACGCACGTAGCCAGGCGGGACAAACAAGGATGATAACGTTGGAAGGTCCAATGGCGGCGGCCGGCCGGTCGGGCGCATACCTCGGACTCCCCCTCTGCGCCGGCCACTGGGGCTCGTGGCATACCTCGGACTCCCGCCTCTGCGCCGGCCACTGGGGCTCGTGGACCACACGCACAAACGGACCCCTGCCGCATGGTCCGTGTGGACCGGCGCTCCCGGTGGGGCCGGGCAGCCGCCGGCCGGCCGGCACCAGCAGCGACGCTGCCCCTCCTCGTCCGGGCGTCCGGCTCGACGGCAGCCCCATGACCCGTGGATTCGTTTCGCCCTCGCTCGGCCGTCAGGTCAGCTGTTCAGCGCAAAGTCCCAACAAGATAGCACATTTACTTTTTCTAGTCATGCTCGCGACAAGGCGGTCCCATTCTTCTGGCGACGCGTGGAGCCTTACGTGAAAAACAAGCAGGTACTATTGAGTCTTTGCACCCCTCACTAAGACGCCATGGAAAATGTTCAGCGCGGAGTTAAGAAGGCCTGTAGGAACAATGCTGCTCTCCATCGCTGCCCTTCGAAACATTTTATTCCACGTGGTACTGTTTGGCATCTTGAAGTGATCATTAGCCGAAGTACTACGTTTAGTTGTGAGCTTGTATTTCGTACGTTTGCTGCCCTGAAGGCTGTTAGTTCCTCGGAAGGTGTGGTAATCTTCCCGTCATTTCATCCCGTGTTTACAAGTGTTTTTGTGCTGCTTGACCACCAGGTTTTTCGTGGGAGGATGTTTGAAGATTACAGCACGGCTATTTTCACGTCATTTTTTCTACTGACGGGCTCAGATTACGGCGCGAGCACCCGATAGCGTAAACATTCCTCGTTCGAAGCACGCATGTCGCGACAGTTGACCTCGGGGTCGTCGTTCCATGTCACGGTCGCTCCGACCAGCGCCGAACCAGGCGACCTCACGATCCTCTGCGCACGTGCGGCGGGGTTGAGTCATTCGTTTGCGAGCTTGCGCCCTCTGAGGTCGAGGCGTCGAGACGCAGCTGAGCAAGCCGCGCCGGGTGCCGACGACAACTGATGCCACCCGTACCGCGCAGCTTCGGCGCGGCTGCTGTGGAACCGTTGGGCGACAAGGCCTCCTGTGTTGTTTCTGGTGTGGTGTCCCGGCGAACAGCTGCAGTCGCGCACCTGCCAGAGCCCCTGCGCCGCTGCAGCGGACCGGCTGGTGACATAGGGCCGACGGGTGGCCCCTGGCCCGCCGATTCGGGCTCCCCGTCCGCTCGAGAGGCGGGCGCGGCCGGCGCCGGGCCCGTGATAAGCCGTCCAGCGCCGGCCGCCGGCCGCCCGTCCGCCGCTATCTTATCGCCCGTCGAGGGGAGTCAGGGGTCAGCCGAGTGCTCTCCGGGCGGCTCCGGTGCGCCGGCGGCGCCGTGGCCGGCCCTGAACTCGACACTGTGCCGCCGGCCGCGACGGCCGATACCGCCCGGGTCGGCGGCCTGATGTGCCCACCGGGTGGGAGCGTGGGGAGCCATGACTGCGCCGGCACCGCCGCGACGGCCGGTACCGTCCCGTGTTGGCGGCCACATGCGTCCACCGGGTGGGAGCGTGGGGAGCCATTACTGCACTGGCACCGCCGCGACGGCCGGTACCGTCCCGTGGCGGCGGCCTGATGTGCTCACCGGGTGGTAGCCGTGAGAAGGCATGACTGCACTGCTCGCCGATCTGCACCTCTCGTCTCGTGGTGTATTAGAATACAGTTATGTTGTTTACATACAGGCGTTACCTGTATCTTGTTGGATTCGATGCAAAAGCGCCAAGCGCTTGTAGCGAGTCGCCGCCCGTGTGATGTGGCAAAAGCACGTGCTCTCTGTGAGGTGCCGGGCCTGATGGTGCCAGGCCACCCTTTACGCTGTATATGAACACAGAAGCAGCCGGCTTGATGGACATGTCGTGACAGTGTGGGAAGGCGTGACTCTGATATTTGCGTCGACAACGTGCTGGGACGCACGATTTGGGTTTTTCGGAGTTCCCGTGAGGTGCGGAGATCTTCGAGTGTCCTCAAGACGCGGGAAGTCATGTTCTACGTCGTGAACGGATTTCCCCGAACGTAATCTCACACGGTGTGTTTACAGAAGGCGCGCAGAAGCCTCAGCGGTCAGGCCCGCGCTGCTGAAGGACGTGCCTCTGAAGTCGCTGAAGGTCGTGCCTCTCGTGCTCGTTTTCCTTGTTGTGCCTCTGCGTCGCCTTGCATCCCGACGATTGCCTGCGCTCGGTGATGGCCGCTGCTGTGTTCACTCAGTGGTAGGGTCATGACCGCTGCCGGTGTGCTGAGTAGCGCTTATGTGCCGAAGCGGAGCCGGACGGCCGCGCTGCCCACGAGCCCGCGCTCCGGACGTCGTCAGGGTCGCGGACGGCGCCGGCCGTCCGGAGCTGTCCTGTCCGCGGACGCCGCCGAGCAGGCTCAGCACGGCCGCACTCGGCGACGGACCGGACCGGGCCGCCTCTCGCGCGGCCGGCCCTCCACCGCTGACGTCACTGGCTCTGGGAACGGCGCCCGTGACGTCAGACGGCCGATCGGCCGGCGGCGGCTGGTGCGCGGCATTTGTCGGCGCCTGAGTGTGGCGGGCGGGCGCGCGGGCGCCGCCGACCTGAGCTGACCTGATCTGACGGGGCGCGGCCGGTGCCGCAGGCCGCCTGGACCTGGAGGAGATCTACAGCTCGCTGCACAAGCTCGGCCTGCAGGTGGACCGGGCGGAGGCGAAGCGGCTCCTCCAGCGGTGAGTGGCGGCGCGGCGGGACCGCCGACTTCGGTCTGACCCGGTGGCATGGCGCTGCACGCGGACACTCGGGTGCAGGCTGACGAGACCGCTCCCAGTGTGACAGGCGCGTGTCCGGCTCAGGCTGGTGTCCGGTCCTGCGGGCTGTTGTGTCCAGTGTAACACGGCGCGTGTCCGGCTCAGGCTGGTGTCCGGTCCTGCGGGCTGTTGTGTCCAGTGTAACCGGCGCCTGTCCGGCTCAGGCTGGTGTCCGGTCCTGCGGGCTGTTGTGTCCAGTGTAACACGGCGCGTGTCCGGCTCAGGCTGGTGTCCGGTCCTGCGGAGTGTTGTGTCCAGTGTACCCTGATGCCTGAATGTGGTGCCCTCCCTCATGGTGCAATGGCATCGCTGGAACGCATGCTCTGGATGCTATCGGATGTTTAACCCCATCTGGCTTCAGAGGCGCCGGGGCTGTTAGTCGTTCTGTGTTTTGTCGATGCCCTAATACGCCTTCCTCAGTTTTGTCGCCGTGCCCTGACGCAGCAGTACCTCAGCAGTGTGACCGGTCTGTGACGTCGCCGGCTGTCTGGCTCCGCGGCCCCCTTATCGGCTGTTGTTCTCCCGCTGGCCCTGTTCGCCTCGGTGGTGCCGGTGGTGAAGCACCAACGGCCCCGTTTGTCGCTGTTGGGCAATGCCGGCCGTTGCGCAACGCGGACGTCCCTCCGCCCGGTCCTGACGGCCGTCAAACAGGCGCCGGCGTCGTGCAGCGGCGACACGGCGCGGAACGCCGCGCCGGCAGCGCAGTGGGAGACCGCTCCACATCTCGTGATCTCGCTCGCGGCCGGTGCGATCTTGGAGCTGGTGCAGTGGAGAGATCCGCTGCGTGGCACCAGGAGTGCCGTCGGCAACAGGGTCTCGGGGGACCGGCTGCCGGACCGTCTGTATCGCGGATCGCGCTCGCGCTCTGATAGGGCTTTGTGACAGGGGAGGATGCTGTTGTTTTGTTGGCCCAGCGCTGAGCGGATTTGGCGTCAAGTCCCCGATTGTGGGAGCCAGCGCTGCTGACAAGTGCGGTCGCAAGCCCTGGCTGCATCTAGTTACATAAAGCATGACGTTCTCGTAGAAAGTGGGGAAGGAGGCGAGGAGGGCTCGTTGCGCAATTTGCCATCCTTTACTCCCTGTGATCCTCTGTACATGTATCGTGATTATCTCTTCCTGTTGGCATTGCGCCCAGGGCGTGCCGTGCTTGAGCTTGTCCTCTGTGTGACCGCGGCTGCTTCCTTTTGGCACACACTTCGCCCCGGCCTGTGTGCAAAAGGAGAGCCGTTCTCTGCGCTTGGTGGGAGAACCTTGCGATCACGTCATTGCGCCTGACATCGGCCATCTCTGGAGCCCTTCCCGGGAAGTGGGAGGCCTGCTGTTGTGACCGCGGCCGGTGCTGACCGGTGTGCGCTTGCGCCGCCGCAGCATGGACAAGGACGGCACGCTGGAGATCAGCTACGGCGAGTGGCGCGACTACCTGCTGTTCCACCCGAGCTCGGAGCTGCACGACATCCTTCAGTACTGGAGACACTCGACGGTGAGTGGCCGCGTCCGTCGCCACGGTCGACGGGCCGGGGCAGGCGCACGGGCGCCGGCCCCGCCCGGTGACCGGCTGGGTACAGAGACGCGTCTGTAACGAGTTGTAGTTCGATCTAGACCGGTGAGGAACTAACGCGCCGCGCACCGCGTCGTTCGTGCTGGTCCCGTCTGCGCGTCTCAGTCGTCAGCGGCGCCCCCGCTGAAGCGTAGTGAGTGCATCAGCGTGATCGTGTTTGCAGTGGTCCGGCTCGCCGAAGTCGTCCGGCCTCGGACCGGTGTGTGGATACTAGCGGGGGACTAGATTGGATACTAACGCACTTCATCACGGTTTGGCCGTCCGCCGGTGGAGCGCTGCGTGCAGTATACCAGGCGTCGCCGCCAGTGTGCGCTGTCTGCCGCTCCCAGTTCTGGCCAGTTGTGTGCGCTGTCGGCTCGGACGTCTGCGGGGCTCGCCCGCGGTGTCCAGTAGGCTAGAGCCACCTCGGTGCCGTCCGCTGGGAAGGGAGCCTTACGGAGTGTCCCTCGAGGCGCGCCGTCCCCCGTGAAGGAGGTGATTTTCAGTGACAGACGGGAGGAAGTGCAACCAGCCCGTGCCCAAGCAGTCTGCGGGCTAAGCACCAGCGAAGCATCCCATGGCTCTGTCGGGGTAGGACGCGGCGAAACGAATGCGTAATTTGTTCCGCTCTCTTCCCGACGGCCATGCCATGTCTTCTTGGTCCGATCTCGCCTGCTTCCTCGGCATGGTTGCGCCTCTCCCCGCTGCTCAGCCGGCGCAGTGGCTTGCCCGGCTTTCTTAGCTCGTGTGTTCTGGCGTGGTGCTAGCGCTCATCTTGTGCATGGTGGGAGTGACCTGTGCATGTGTCGGTGGATATGTATGGCTGCTGCCTTCGCTTCACACTTTGTATTTGCGTTTGTGCTCCTGTTGTTTGATCCAGTTCACCGGTTGTGGTTTCACTGTATGTACAGTACTCGTGCGGTGTCAGTATCACGCGAATGTCATCGCGCCGCCTTCACTCCGCATGGCTTCCGTCTCGGGGTTTGCGTTCGTGCCGGTTCGGGCTCGCCGGCGGAGCGCCGACGCGCACCGCTCCGCCGGCGGCCCTCGCGCTCTGTGCCGCTCGCTGACGCCGGCCGTTCTGTCTGCCCAGCAGCCGCGCGCGTCTGGCCGGCTGGCGGCGTTCCCTCCCGCCTGCCCCATGTCGGCGCCGCCCGGCGGCGGCCGGCTGCGCGCCGCGCGCCCGGCCGTGGCGTGCGCCATGTCGGCGCCGGCGCTGCCGCTGCAGGCGGTGGCCGGCCGACTGCCGGCGGCGCTGCTGCGGCCCGCCCACCCACTGCACCCGCTGCTGCGCCGGCTGGACGCGCGCGGTCTGCTCTGCTTACAGTACCTGGACATCGGCGAGGACCTCAATGTGCCGGACGACTTCAGCGCCGAGGAGCTGCAGCAGGGCCTGTGGTGGCGCCACCTGCTGGCCGGTGGCGTGGCCGGTGCCGTCTCGCGCACCGCCACCGCCCCGCTCGACCGGCTCAAGGTCTTCCTGCAGGTACGCACGCCGCCGGCTGGGCGGCGGCTCGCGATGACTGCGAACGCGGCGCGGTTTGATGGCGAGCGGCGAGACTCCGGGTGAGCTGGCGCCGCGGTGGCGTGTGGTAGGACATGATGAGACGTGGCCCACCGCTCTGTGGCGTCTCGCAGCGTGTCGGTTTTCGACGTGAGGTGACGGCGGACCTGTCAGTATTTCGTGTGCAGCACCGATGCGCTGACCGTGTGTTCTTGCGCGCTGGTGTGAAGCTGAACCTGTGAGAAGCGTTCTCGTGTCTGACCAGGGATATCGTGCGCATGCTAGGTTATGCCGTTGGCTGCCTAAACCTTGCACGCTGTCCGCGATGGCGGTCTTTCCGCCGTGCATCTGAGCAGCCCTCACCGCGTTCCCTGGTCGTGGGCGCGTGACGTCACCGCCGGCCGCGGCGTTTTTGGCAGGTGCACGGCAAGTCCCACTTCTGCAGCATCCAGCACTGTCTGCGCCACATGCTTAACGAGGGCGGCGTGCGATCACTGTGGCGTGGCAACGGTATCAACGTACTCAAGATCGCACCCGAGTCGGCGCTCAAGTTCATGGCCTACGAGTACGCCAAGCGCGCGTTGCGCGGCGACCGGCCGCGCGACATCAGCATCTACGAGCGGTTTGCGGCCGGCAGCTTTGCCGGCGGCTTCAGCCAGACCGTCATCTACCCGATGGAGGTGCGCGATCGGCGTCGTGGGACGGGGAGGGAAGGGCATGGGTATGAGTATGGGTATGGGTATGGGTATGGGGAGGGACGGAGTAGGTGTGTGTGGCTGGGGAGTGGTATGACGTGGGTGTGCAGGGACGAGGAAGGACGGCTGAGTGGGAGATGAGACATCGCATGTCCAAGCTGCGGACGGCAGCTGGTCTAGAAAATATCCGGATGGGCCCCAGTGCGGGGTGATTCGCGCGCCTGGTGCAGATGAGGACGGTGTCCTCCGCCACCGTCAGGCCCTGAACCGTCCTCCTCGCCGCAGGTGCTCAAGACGAGGCTGGCTCTCCGCCGCACGGGCCAGTACAAGGGCATGGTGGACGCCGCCATGAAGATCTACCGCGCCGAGGGCCTGCTCAGCTTCTACAAGGGCTACGTGCCCAACCTGCTCGGCATCATTCCATACGCCGGTGAGGCTCGGCCGGCGGCGGCGGATGGGCGGGTGGAAAGGCAGAGCTCGCCCGTCACGGCTGCGGAGATTGGTGAACGCTAGCTGGGGCTGGCGGGTGCCGCGCGTGAGGGACGGGAAGAGCGTCTCCAGAGAGGGGGACGGGCAGAGCTCACCCGTCACGGCTCGGGAGGCGGATGAGAGCCAGCAGAGGCCGGCTGCCCGGCGGGGCCGGGCTCCCGATGCGGTCCGAGGACCGATGTGAGGGTGTCCGACTCCGGGGCGAGCTACCGGTGCGGTCCGAGGACCGATGTGAGGGTGTCCGACTCCGGGGCGGGCTGCAGGGTGGGCTGCCGGTGCGGTCTGAGGACCGATGTGAGGGTGTCCAACTCCGGGGCGGGCTGCGGGGCTGGCTAGCGGTGCGGTCTGAGGATCGATGTGAGGTTGTCCGACTCCGGGGCGGGCTGCGGGGCGGGCTGCTGGTGCGGTCCGAGGACCGATGTGAGGGTGTCCGACTCCGGGGCGGGCTACCGGTGGCGTCGCCAAAGGGCCGGCCCCTATCACAACTCGCGATACGTTTATTGTCCGAGTCCAGTTACCAGCTGCAGCTGCTTGCATTGTTTTCACCGGCTTCGGTGTAATTTATTACTGTGAATGACTTGACAAGAACGTGTGCGATTGGCAGTATTGTTGAGATGCTATTTTCAGTTTCATATTTATGTTCGTAGTTGCTTATGGTGGCGATGAGTGATTCGTAAGTCATGGACAAGATGCCTCCATCTCCTGTTCTCTGTTTGATAACGATGGCCTCGGTCACGTGCAAATGTAATTGGTAACTGCGTCTGGTCCAGGTGGAGCTCCTGATAGCGGTATGTCATGTTATACGGTGTGACTGGCGTGTGAAGCGTGGCACGTTCACACCTGACGTGTGCCTGGTGGGGCTCATAACGCCAGAACCATGGCGGGCGCGCGGGCGCCGCGGTGACCGTCGCTTGACCGTGTCGACGTCGCCGCCCAGGTATCGACCTGACCGTGTACGAGACACTGAAGAAGCGCTACCTGCGCAACCACGACGAGTCTGAGGACCCGGGCGTGCTGGTGCTGCTGGCCTGCGGCACGGCCAGCAGCACGTGCGGCCAGATCGCCTCCTACCCGCTGGCGCTGGTCCGCACCAGGCTGCAGGCGGCCGGTGAGAGTCGACACCCACCCGAGCGCCGCCGCCGCCGCCGTCTGGCGCTGCCTTACGCTGTCTCTCGTTCTCTTTGTTGGTTTGGTTTTCGCTCTCTCGCTCTCTCTCTCGCTTAGGCTCCATATTCGGGGCCTTGTGTGTGGCTCTCGGTTGTTTTGTCTGGGTACCATCTCTGCGTGCGCGCCATGATGTAGATGTGCTTTGTTGTCCGAAGTACGTGGGATAACAACTCACCTGTCCAGATCGCAGTCGTTATCGACGTACTGGCCTGCTCGTTCTCTCGATTGCATTGATTCATGTGCCGCGACTGCGGTCCTGTACCCGTCGTGTCACGTGGGTTAATTTCTGATGCTGGTGGCAGTTATCACCGTTGCAACTCCCGACGCACCCGCCCTGCACGGTGCCAGTGGTGCCCCCGCCCCCGCTGACGGTGCCGGTGGTGCCCCCGCCCCCGCTGACGGTGCCGGTGGTGCCCCCGCCCCCACTGACCGGCCATGCGTTCCGCTTCCAGCGGTGCTCCAGCAGCAGGCGGGCGGTACAGACCCGGCCACACTCAACATGCGCTCCCTGTTCCGCTCGATCATACAGCAGGAGGGCTTCCTCGGCCTGTACCGCGGCATCGCGCCCAACTTCCTCAAGGTGGCGCCCGCCGTCAGCATATCGTACGTCGTCTACGAGAAGTGCCGGACTGCGCTGGGCGTGACGATGACGTAACGAAGCTGCCGTCTAGAGCAATTGGCGTGGCCGCCGCGGCCGGTGGTCGCCGGCCGCGCCCCGGCGGCTGGCTGGCCGCGGCGCGGCCGGCGGCGGCCGTGCGATATTCCCGGTCGGCGTCGCAGCGTAGTCGGTAGCGTTGGTTAGCTAGTGGCGGGACGCTGGCAGTCGCGGAGACCAATGGGAGGTGCCGGCCGCGCGGGCGTGGGGGCCGGTCGGCGGCCTGCGCGCCTCCGACGCGACGCCCGCGCTCCCCGGTCGCGGGGCTTCTACTCGAGGAGCGCGCCCTCCTGTCCTACGCTTGATTCTGATGGTCCGTTATTTATTGAGCGTCGATGGTGCTGTTTTACGTGGCTGACACTTGTTACCTTGTGCGATGTGCTGGCGCCGTGCCGGCCGCTGCCTGTGTTTGCGTGAGGTGCACGCGGTCCGTGGCCGCCTTAGCTCCGTTCAGAGGGTGGCGGCGGCGTGTTGTCGGCCGTTGACGCGTGGGCGTGCATGGGGAGGCGACCGACGCCCCATAGGGGGAGAATCATGCCAGTTTGCCTTGTCGCGGCTGATCAAATGTCAACCCTGGAGATGCACCACTGAAGTGACCGAATCAGTAGCTGGTGTAGCGGAGTGGCGCGGGTGGAAGGGCCACTCGGCCGGTCATTTTTAGATGATTGTTGTCCGCCCGGTGAGCCCGGACGGCGACGATCGTTCTGTATATGTTCTCCCACCAGCATGCTTAGGTCAATCGTTATCTGGCTCGCTCTGGTCATTTCCTCCCTATTGCGTCTTTCAGGGACTCAATGTTCGCGGTGAAAACAGTATTGGCACCCGTCTGCCCTTGAGGTGGACGTTTTTAAGCCGTTGTTTTCTAAATCGAGAATAAATCTTAAAATAATGTGCCGTGTTATGATTTTTGGCAACGATGTGGTCCGTTCCGCATTTGACTCGGCGTAGCCGAGCGTGTATTGAAATACGGCTGATTCAGTGCAGTGCATCGTGAACGTTCCCCATGGCGCCCAAGAACGCTTCACAGCCAATTCAAACAGCCCCGTCAAACAGGAAACGTTAGCAGAGAAACAGGCGTCCCAATGTACAGGCTGGCGGGAGGGGCGCGCGGTGCGGCTCGTTCGGCGGGCCACCGTCCCGCGTCGCTCGCCACAGTAGCCGGACATGCAGCGGAGGCCCAGCGTCCCCCGGCCAGCGCCGCTCCCGCCGACGCTCAGCCCGGCGCCACGCCTACCGCTGCTCGGTCAGCGCCGAGGCGAACGTGGGCATCCGCTGCGCTGGGCGACCTCACGCGGGGCCACCTCACTCTGGGCGACCTTACGCGGGGCCACCTCACGCGGGGCCACCTCACTCTGGGCGACCTTACGCGGGGCCACCTCACGCGGGCGACCTCGCGTGGGCGACCTCACGCTGGGCGATTCGAAAAGCGTCCTGGGTCTATGTGGATGCAGGCATGTCAGACGCCTTTGGTTGAGATACGTGATTCCAGACGCCATCGACCAGTTGCGCACATAACCCCTGGCTGCGACGCAGCACGTGTAATGCGGCACAGTCTACCCTGGCTGACGTCACGGTGACGCCATCGACCAGCTGCGCACATAACCCCTGGCTGCGACGCAGCACGTGTAATGTGGCACAGCCTACCCTGGCTGACGTCACGGTGACGCCGTCCACCAGCTGCACACATAACCCCTGGCTGCGACGCAGCATGTGTAATGCGGCACAGTCTACCCTGGCTGACGTCACGGTGACCATGCGCTGCGGCCGGTGGTCATGAGCAGGTGGTGACCGGTTTCAGACTGCTTGACATTTTAGTGTCATAAAATTTATTTTTGTTACGCTCGTGTATGAAGCAGCACAATGTATTCAACGTTCACGCGGTGGCCAACGAAAAAAACAGTTCAGCAATTAAGGTACTATATATATATATATATATATATATATATATATATATATATATATATATATATATATATATATATACATGTATGAATATATATATGGGCATTAATGTGGGTGATTTCAAGCATGGGCTCTTATATTCTGTCCACTCGATACATGGGTACAATATTATAATTGACGCTCAAACGGGCTGCGCACCACAAACCTTCACATCGCTCAACGTTAACATTTCTTATAAATACCACTTCAGCATCTGCTTTTCAACACTACGATATCGGTAATCCTGACCGTGTTGTAGCAAAACAACATCCAGGGCTGGAATGCATCTCGCTCCCGCTTTTTTTCTCTTAGCATAGGAAAAAGGCCCTGTTTTTCTGCCACGAATATGTTTCCAGAAGCTTTTGATCTAAGCGCTAGTTTTATTGCGACCAGTTGGGCTAAACAGATACACAGTGTCAAGGTCAAAGAAGGACGCAACCCGACACCAATGATAAAAGAAGCAAATTCATGACCGCCGTGCCGAAAGTCAGCTGTCTGTAATGCTCGGAGCAACACTGGGAGCAGTCTTCATACTTTCCATGAGTCGAAGTACGCATGCTTGTTCATCGGGAACTCCCCAGATCCACGTGAGGGAACTCCGAACGCCAGCTCCCAGTTGGTCAGGAAACTGGAAAAACGTCACAGTGTTCAGCTGTCTGTCAATGAAAAGTGGTCATCATCAGCTCATGATGGGCCATCGGTTTGTGCGTGTTCATGTAATGACTTGTACCCCACAAGTGGACGTGCCGAGATATGCCACCCGTATGTTTTCAATGTACTTCAAGTGGAATGTAGTTTTCAATAGCTGTTTCCGCATTGCAAGCTATGTTCGCCTGTAAGCGAATTGCTTTAAAACTAGCTGAAGTGTTTTTTCATTGAAAAATATTTTGGGATTTTTCAACACATTTCCTCAGGCCGTGTGCTGTTGGAAGAAATGCCGCCATGTGCAAAGTCGGCGGTGCTGTTCACATCAGTCCGTGGGCTGGTAATCGCCCTGACACCAAAGATGGCGCGGTGGCCTCATTGCTATGAGAAAACTTTATTACCACGAAAATTCTTCCCGGTCTTTCTAAAAACCATCGCTTCTGAACCCTACTTCAAGCGGACTTCGAGATTTCAGTCAACCTCCGGCGAAAGGCTGATGCTGCGCACCTCGCTCCAGAGATCTCGAGAACCGCTTACCCAATATGCATGGGTCAAACGCTTTTGCATTGGGTCCATTGGATTTATCGATGTCGTCATTTCCGGGCTAAAAACATTTGCAATATACAAAAGAGGGAGGGAGTAGGAAGAGGGAGGCCAACGAAGTGTAAAACTTTGAGCTCTTCCAAATTATCAGTGTGGTAATGTAGTAGCCAATTTACATGGGCCAGGTGCGGTTCAGATCAAAACTACACAGGAAATGTCATACATCTTCAGCGGAAACTGAGAATTCAAGATCACTGATGTTTTCAGGAAGGACAAGGTCGTATCATTTTTTCACACTATGAACGTCCGTGACCTGTACCAACAGATCACGCTTCAGGGCGAAAGTCGTAATTCGGTGCATTCTTATTGGAGGGGAACGTAGGCGTGGAGATAAGCAGACTGGGAAACACGGCAATAGATCGATCTCTAACTACAACCAAGCAAAGCCCTCAGAAGACATATGACCGAAAGTCAGGACAATTGGCCTACAAACAAACAAAGCCCTCAGAAGACACGTGACCGAAAGTCAGGACAATTGGCCTACAAACAAACAAAGCCCTCAGAATACACGTGACCGAAAGTCAGGACAATTGGCCTACAAACAAACAAAACCCTCAGAAGACACGTGACCGAAAGTCAGGACAATTGGCCTACAAACAAACAAAGCCCTCAGAAGACACGTGACCGAAAGTCAGGACAATTGGCCTACAAACAAACAAAGCCCTCAGAAGACATATGACCGAAAGTCAGGACAATTGGCCTATCGCAGACGCGGCAGCGCCCGGGTGTGCATAACCAACGGCTTCTGCGCTTGCGCCGCGCCGCGCATCTCGGGTCGACGCGGATACTGGCGGTCCTGATGGAGGAGTGTTGAAAACAGCTTATCTTTACGCCGGTAACATTGGCTGACAGTCATGAGTTTGGCAGGCCGAAGCGGAGACAGGCTCGACTCCGATCTCTGAACCGCGTTAGTCGCTTCGAACTCGGTGCCCGTGGAGAGGTTGCGTTATAGAAGACGGATTCAAACGGAGCGGCGAGTTTGACCGCCTGAGCTTGTTCTCGTAACCCCAGAGGCTGTGCGGCTGACCTTTGCACGTAGAAAGCCGTCAGCACGGCCAGGGCAGCAGGTCGGAGGAGCCGTCTGCCGACGGGCCACGGCAGGCCTTCGAGCCAACCGACCACTGCGTCCAACACCAGGCCTGGGAATGGAGGTATTAGCAGCTACTAGCAGACCCACCTGATATCTGCCTGGCTGAGTCAAAGCCAGAATACGAAACACTGTCCAGCTCAGACAAAGCTAGTGTTTGTGCATTGAGTCAGGTCAGGCCAGCAATGCTTCGAATGGCAGCAGCCCCGGTGTGTGATTCACGTCACGTACGCAACTTCAAAGCGGAAGCGCTTATTCCGCACCAAACACGTCATGAGCTAAGGTGGCCATGGAAAAGCTTAATCTTTCCGGAATTGCTGCATCCTCTGTGCGTGTTTCGTGTCACGTACGTGACTTCTAAGCCGCGCTCAACATGCCTTAAATGGAGATTCGCAGTGATGACGTTTTCCTTACCAAGTGTAGGAGACCACGAGATCATGACTGCAAAAACTGTCTTCTTCTGTCACGTACTACTGTCGCCTCACCAGATATCATGGTGCTGAAGAAAAAGGCCGGCAAGTAGTGATGAAAGTAGAGCCGCCGTCGCATCGCCCAGAAAGGAGCGTAATGGAGTACCCAGGCCAGCAGCAGATACAGCAATCCTTCCTGGATGCGTTGACGCTCTAGGAATTACGAAACGTACGTCAACAGAGCAGGCAACATCGGCAAAGGGAGTTTGCTCTGGTCACTGGTCTTACGCTTCCTCAGGAGACCAGTTCGTTTCAAGTTGCATACCAATCTGGACTCCACTCACATGAAACCTGCACTGGTACCGAGCTCTTCAGCCATGAGTTATGAGTTTTGAAACGATTCGAGTCATGTTAGCCGTTCACGGATTTCCGGAAATCACGGCGCATGCACCATCAACGCAGGTGACACCGATATCACCGACACGACACGGTAACGTCATCCGAGCGGAGAAGGCGGTGTATTCATAGTACAGTCGTGCCGATGTCGCAGGCTACTTTCTCGGCACACTTACAGAGCTGCTCGCGCACCTCAACAAGAGAAGCGGTAGTCACTAGTCCTACTCGCCAATAGCGATTCGAGCAGAGCTCGAGGAAGCCAGAGACGGGTGACGCGAAAGGAAAGGTGGTGTAAAAGTTATTTAGGTTTAGGTTTAGGTTTAGGTATAAGAACCTTAACACGCGCCCGGGTGGCCGGCTGGATACCCTTCACTCGGGCGGGGGTCGATTAGACCCCCTGAGATCTCAGTAAGTAAGAAAGCCAGAGACACCAAATTCAAAGGGTGTGTTGACCTGTACGTGATCTCACTCAGGTCAAAGTCTGAGGTTCGTAAGTCATGATCTTCGGGTGGAATAAGGTGAAACAAGGTCAACTTCCAGGTTGGTCTCCAAACTGCCTCCGGAACCTAAATAATTGTTTCTAAGCAAAGGGTCACATGTTCATTTAAGGTCAGTGACCTGGTTTGACTTTTTGAAGGTCATAGTTACCGAAATCGTACAAGACTGCTCCGAGTTTTGCGTTTGAATAAGCGACAAACATAACGCTAGGCAGCATGTTCCTAAAAAAAATGTTGACCTGGGTCATTTTAGGTCAATAGCCTTTTCTGACCTCCAAGAAAACCATGGTAAATGTAGAATGCGGTTCCTGCCATCGATAAATTCGAAATGAGCACCAGGAACTTTGCCATACAGCAAACCCTGGGGTAATAAAACAGGTTGGTTTTGGCCCTGGTCTGACCTTAATACTTGACCTTAGGTCAATGTACTTCGCCCGTTCAATTCTTGTGCTGCCTAAGAAAGCGTCTCAGAGGCGTACGGCTTCGTCTAACACCCCGTTGTTGCAACAGACTGAACGATTCCCTAGAAATTGACTTCGTTGAAACCACGGCTTCACTTTGACCTGCCATTGGTCAGCGACCTTACAAGATACATATAAATTTTAGACACCAAACGATTCAATGGTCGACAGCCATACACAATTTGGCGCCGCGCCGCGCCGTTCGGAAACCATTCTGGGAATACCTTCGGGGGGGGGGGGTCAATTTGACCCCACCCCCACCCCCACCCCCGCCCGAGTGAGTGTTAAATTCTAAAGGCGTTTGCCAACAACCGCTGATCCGCAGCCCCTCACCAGCGACCTGTGACCAGCAGACCATAACCGGCGGCCCCTGACCAGCGGCCACTGACAAGCAGCCCCTGGCGAGCATCGCTCTAATCGGCGTCCCCTGAGGTTCGACTGCTCAAGTTACCTGTAGCCTGGGGGTGCCGCCGTCGTCGCACCCTGCTCACGGTTTCCAGCAGGGGCAGCGCGCAGAGTATGGCCAGGTTCGGGAAGTACACGTGCGGACTGCCGACGAAGTACATCGCGTGCACCTGGGTCACCGGGCACGCACACCCCTGTGGCAGCGGAACACCGGGTCAGACGTGAACGGGTCTTGGGAACCCCTCGTATAGTACAAGCAGGGGTTTAAATTGATCTCCAAAGCCACCAAAGCGTGTCAGAAATTTAACAGGGAAAGGACGTTGAGACTGTATGAGCTCTATAACTCTATGCCGCTAAAACTGTCCAAGAAGGTCATTCGCGTCTCATAGAAGATACTGAGGTGATCATATATCATCATCAGATCATATATGATGGTAAAAGGTCATTTGTAACGATCGTTATGCTTTTAAGAGTAAAAGACAACTCTAAAAAACACAATTTCATTCACTGGTAAATATGGCCCTCATTACGGCATCGCTTTATTACGCCATGCAACATTTCACTATGTCGCAGTCACCGCCAGAGCTGTTACATCAGAGCTGCCTCTTTACCGGGGAGTGTGGCTCACTTCTTCCACACGCCGCAAGATGACTTTGTTCGTTTATGCGTGCGAAGTTAACGTACGAGCGTTATGCGCGTTTGTTTTGGCGTTTGCTCGTAGTCTTCTTGAATATTTTCCGTGGTGCTATGTTCATTACTCGCATTAACATTTTCGGTTACAACGCTTTCTTTAAGTTTCTCGATTCACAGCCTCGTGTCCTTGCTTAACCTTGAGCACAGCACAGTCAATAATGTGGGTTATTCGCGTGACGTTTCTACGACCTCATACCTGTCATGGCGAAATTCCCACAGGCTGCGCGTAATAGCCTGCACAAGTTCACGGTCATCAAGCACAGGAACAAGATAAATTTGGAGTCTCAAAAAGGACATGGATGTGAACTGCAGGGATGATCATGAAGTCTATCTCAAAACTCCATGCACATGTGGAACATTCTCTTAATGGCAGTGTGCCACGTCTTTGTATTTTTTGATAAGACGCCTAAGATTTGATCAGAAACGTCAGTATTCTCAAAATCCCTCTGAAAAGCTCAGAAGTTGGACTTACAGTAACTGCTCCTCAGGGAAAAATATCAATGGATTTCCTGCTCACAACTACGACGGCAATACATTTCATTTGCTTTGCTTTTTCCACGTGTGTTTTTGTTATGCTTGCAGCACACTCATTTGCCAAGATGCATGTACAACAAATGTTAGGAAAGCTTGGAAAACTGTTTGGTTGAAGGCTATGAGAATATGAAGCTATCATTCAGTGAACAAAATGAAATATTATACAATGACCCCGACTTCTCCGTTGAAGTGTTTAATGCACTGGCTCTTTCCGACACGCCCTTTGACTTTGGGAATGGAAGCTTCTCAGGGCCCATGGTGACGCACTGGTTCAAACTTTAACCAATACGCTTCTCGGTAAAGGCCCTTGCCGCCCACGAAGCCAATCGCGAACGTTCTTTTACTCGCACCAATAGAGATGCTACGGCTGTAGTCATAACGACGATGGTCGCGACTGCAGAGAAAAGCGTAGTGCCGTTTCCCTCCAGTCACGGTGGACGTGACTGCAGGAAAGCAGCACCGCGTCACGTCAGCCAAAAAAGCGTTGATACAGCAATCTGGAGGTTAAAGAAAATGGTAACTGATATCCTTACCATGTCTTGACGGTGCTGCAGTGACACTACCCAGTGTTATTTTTAGACTAAATGATCCTGACGTTTCATAAGAGCATGTTTTTGAAATGTGCCCCGAAGGTGGGACACTTCCTTCAAACTTAGACCTGAACAGGAGCATCAACTTTTCTTTAGCCAATGGGGCAACTAATGCGCATGTTTTGACACCGAAAACGTGTATTTGGCTTTGCCTTCCGAGCAGTCCCCGATTTTTAGGGACACTGCATGCCGATCGCCGGCGGGCGACGGTGGCGGGCGGCGGTAGGTGACTCCGAGGGCCGCTCGCAGGGGGCCGACCTTGTTATGCTAAGGGGGTGTTCCACATTTATAGGGCATTTTGAGCTGAAACAGCCATATTGAGGACCTTTTAGGGCTGTTTACAACCCTGCCCCTTTTAAGACCTGATCTTTTGTAGTTTCTGGACTAAACACCCGAGAGAACGTGTAGGCTATTTTAGTGAAATTATATCAAGGTCAATGATTCTTTTATATCTGGTGTTCGTGAATATGACTTCCAGATATAACGACTGTCAATTGGCTCTCAATCGATGCTTTGTAAGGTACGATGACGTAATCAAACAATGACGTGTTGAGAAGCATATTCACTGCATAGAGAAACTGTGTTATCTAGAGCAGTCTTTTTCACTTGAAAGTATATGTGAGTATAATGAACCAACAGCTCTGTGTGAGCTTATTTCATCATATCTGACGCTGGTTTCAATACCTTTAAATAAGAAACATTCCGTTTAACTGAGCTGTACATCATAACTGCAGGCTCAAACACAAAACATACATATCGATGTACCCAAAATAAAACAAGAGGTGTGCTTTTAATGTTTCATGTCTCTACATGCCATGGCTCCGTACAATGCTCATGTCAAGCTGAAAAAGTGCGGTTTTCTGAAAAAAATGTTTTACCTGATATAATGCGGTTAATCATTATCTTAATGATGTCCATTTTATTACCAATCGCAGATCAGGTCGAGACCAATTCACTGCATTTTTCCGCGATGCTCTACCGTTCTTAGTTTGTAAACGGCAGGGTCGCATCCCCAAGATGCCCGTGTTATGAAAAAGAGCAAATCAGGGTGAGCGTTACTGGGTGACATGTTCTGAAACAAATCTTTTATTTTGGCTACACTCCGGGCGATTTCTTTACAGGTCGTGCTTCGTAACACTAATTACGTTGAAATGGGTAGAGCCGTAAGTATATGGCACCTCCTCCTTGATAGCGTGCTTGCTGGCGCCGCCCGTCCGACAATGTTGTAATCTTTGGAGCAAAAGCTATCTAGATCACGTCCCAATTTGTTTCAAAGCTATCTAGATCACGTCCCAATTTGTTTCAAAGCTATCTAGATCACGTCCCAATTTGTTTCAGAGCTATCTAGATCACGTCCCAATTTGTTTCAAAGCTATCTAGATCACGTCCCAATTTGTTTCAAAGCTATCTAGATCACGTCCCAATTTGTTTCAAAGCTATCTAGATCACGTCCCAATTTGTTTCAAAGCTATCTAGATCACGTCCCAATTTGTTTCAAAGCTATCTAGATCACGTCCCAATTTGTTTCAAAGCTATCTAGATCACGTCCCAATTTGTTTCAAAGCTATCTAGATCACGTCCCAATTTGTTTCAAAGCTATCTAGATCACGTCCCAATTTGTTTCAAAGCTATCTAGATCACGTCCCAATTTGTTTCAAAGCTATCTAGATCACGTCCCAATTTGTTTCAAGCCATTTGCAATGCGGTCCATGCATTACCATGTGGAATCTTAGGGAGAAGAGCGTAAAACAGCTTTAGCAGATCCATGATAGCGAGAGTCGAACTAGAATGAAATTTGTACACTGTTTACTTGAGACATTTTTCGCACGCCTTCCTATGCTCTGTTATTAATTACTACATCTACAGGGCTTTAATGAACACACAATGCGAATGGATAGCAATACGCACCTTGTACAGTATCGGCCACATCCAAGGACTAGAGCTGAACAGTTTCTGTAAGCTGTCTTCACGCCCGACTTGATGATCTTTGAATTGACTGTTGGAGACCAGCATGACGGGCTGCATCTCAATGATCTTCGCCAGCGTTGACATTTCGTACTGCGCCTTCAAGTCAGCGCCTTCCACTGTCGGCACGGGATATAAGTGGTTGCAGTCGCCATAGCAATGTAGAGTGAGGCCGGACGCGAGCTGTTGAAGGCGCTGCCTAGGTGGTTACTGAGCTCGATATTTCATACCAATGACTGCAGTTGCACTGCGGGTATTTTCCCAACTCCGAATTCCATGTGAATGGCTTAAGTCGCCACGCATGCCATTCCAATTCCCGAGGCCTATATGAGTGGCGGAAGGTGGAACCTTGGTGCCGGTCACACATCGACGGCCTGGTGGAACAGAGGGATGACCTGGAGGTTTTTAAAGCGCCAAATGCAAGGGCTGACCGCCGCTGTTCGGTCCTCTGTGTCACTACAAGAGACGTGATTGTCCATGTCAACGTCTCTCCCTGGCTGCCAACGTGCGAACCAACATGGAAATGCCCACAAAACGGGCATTTCCATATCGCTTGGAACTGCTTTCTCAGCAACCACCCCTGTTTCACCACCTTTTACTTTGCTTGGAATCGCGCGATCGGATGTTTGGGCTCAGGACTCACACAACAAGCATTGCTTAGCGTGAGCTCTGGTCCCAGGAATCCATCCATTAAAGGTTTTGGATCCAGTTTTGAAAACCGTTGGTGTCTAATTCACGACTTTCTAACCAACAGAAGACTTGAATAACTATCTCAGAGATGGATTTTGCGTCACCTCAGTACAAACAGTGCATGGCGTTAACTTTTACTTCAGCCATCGCTTCGATCTAGCCAGCCTAACTCGGACCGCCTTTAGGTATAAATTTCTCCTCCACTTCGTGTCTCTACGTGCGTTAATTATTGTCGCCAATGTATGGGGCACACGACCGGTATCATTGCTCTTACGGCATTTGTGAGACAGCAAAAAGGCATGTGAACATCTGGTGATCCGAAGGTCCATTTGAGAACGAACAGTATCTGGTGTCAGGCACCGCCGCCCCAGAAAGCGCCCACAATTGTCAGGGCTGCTGGAGATTGGCAGGCTTACCCCTGGCATTGACGTTCTCGTCAATTTGCCACAGCTGCTCTGTATCCTCGAGATTGACACCCTTCGGGTCGCACACGACCTCCCAGCCATCGAAACCCCTGGAAAACGCGTACCGCGATTTGTCAGTCTAGCACACATGGAGACCAGTTGAAAAGTTGTGTCCGGGCCCAGGAGACATTTTTTGGAACAAGCGTTCTTGAATGCGTGGGCGCGAGGACGGAGAACAAGAGCTGAAGCATTTCCAGAAGCCATTTTCTGAAATACTGCCGCTTCCACAGCTGTGTCTGTTTTCTTTTCGGAACGCAGCGCGGGTAGTCGCACACCCTTTTCGAAACGCAGCGCGGGTCGTCGCGCACCCTTTTCGGAACGCAGTGCGTGTCGTGTGACACGCTTTTACGAATCGCCAGGTGCTGCAGAGGCCGTATGTGAGCTCAGGTGCCATGGTGAAACAGGGGCTGAGTCTAGGAACTCAAGGGTGAGCCTAAGGGGCTAACTACGCGGCCAGTACGCCCGCACTGTATCTATGGTCATGGAAACTGTCGTGCGGTAATGGAACGTCCACTGGTCTCATTTGGAGTAGGTTAAACTTGCTGCCTGCCATGCACGGGATGTGGATATTTGAAGAACAAAAATAATGAGAAATGGGGAAGCGAAGAGGGCGCACGGTCTTTACAGCTTTCACCGCCATGACAACGATCCGACATGGCCATGTGTAACTTCAATCTTTCTCCGCGACGGGGGTTTGAACGACGCACACAGTGCGTCGAATACCACGGTATGCTGCTGCCATGCGTTCCGTACCGCATATTCTAAGCATGCCATTTTAATCGTTATGCACATAAAATATGCACGCATGCAAAACTTACAGACGGATGCACTCAGAAAACGCAAATGGGACATTGTGTCCCCAACATTTCTCCAAATGCCTAGCAATTCACCCTCAGGGCAAATACGTTGCAGACACAAATCCGGACACAAGGGGCATGAGCTCTTAGAGGCTGGATTTTTGCTGATATTTGTTGATGAAATGAGTAGAAAGCAGCAGCATCTCCTCCTTATTCACACGGTTCTTGCTAACATGAGCACCACGACCCACACGGTCACATGGTTTTATTTATAAGACCTAAACGTTGTGATCATTCAGCACCCTTGTTACTCTGCCACGAACCTATGGAAGGAAAATGCCATAAACACCCTGCAATTTGGTGGTACTAAAAGAAAAGGGGCCACGGTGAGGCTGGTCTAACAAAAATTAAAATACAAGGTTGCCAGTACTCTAGGCTTTTTCATTGTTTGCCAGATAATATGCTTTTAATAACTTTTCGTGTCGTTCTAAACAAAAGCCAATAAGCGAATTTCAAAGTGAATTCATAACCAACCTTTCCCATGTTGGGATGGAGGAAATAGTGGCTGCCAATCCAATGCAACCATGTCTTATGTCTGACATTCGTAATGACACTAAATCCCAACCACGGAGACCTATATACGGCAACACTGTTAACTTCGAAATGACAGTTAAATGACTACTTAACTTCTCATTAGATTTAACACAGAAACACTACGAAGCCCAAAAATAGTTAAAGACTTCCTAGGCTGATGGAAGCCCCTGTAGTTTAGTACGCAGTTCATGCAGAAAGATAGCAGACCACATAATTTGATTCAGGTCCTGATTCTCTAGAGATTTTGTCCCGTCACTGTTTCTTTGCCCGTCGTGGGAGACCACAACCTTTCTTTTGTTGCTTCTAACCATGAGCAATCTAATCTGGAATGTCACTGGTTTAAGTTGGATTGGTTAACCCAGGTAATGGTGCATTTCTCAGGTACCAAAACGTCTACTGTTTCGTGGCTCCTGTTGACGTGGCGGTCCCGTGACAATAGCATGTCTCCTCTGTCTGACGCGGCACAGGGGTAGAGTGGATCCCCGGCGAAAGCACGTGTGACCCTAATCGGATAGTCCTTTGTTTCGTCTAACTGGCTGAGGTGGACGACGGAAGCAGACTGTTGCAAATATTAGTTAATCTTTGTTAAAATATCTCAAACCACGTCGACATCATATACGGACAAAACCATTTAGGCAAAGGTCTTCCATTAATGCACTCGATCACTTTGCCTTTGGAGGCATGGTCACGCGGCGGAGCCTGAAATTCCGGTTGGCAGCGTGTTCAACACTCGCTCACAAGTATCGTATCTCCACTAGATCGTAATGCATCCACCATCATTAGACCTGTAGTTCAGCGGTACTCACCACGTAAAAGGTCTAACCATTGTGGTGCCCAGCGTAGCACAGACCTGATTGCAAAAACATTTGACAAACTCTGTTAACAAATGACAGAAACCAGCTAACAAAAAGGAAGTGAACTTGAAGCGAAATAAATCAAACTTGGCGCAAATAAAAGTGTGTAGCAGATTTCTGACTGCTTGCGTGATAGTTAATACTAGTGGAGACCTCGCTCGTGCCAGTCTTTCTCGCAAATCCATCAAACATGGATCTTGTTAAACAAAGCTTCGATTTTCTGGTCACACACACACCAACACTCACACCACAACGTTCACACACACACACACACACACACACACACACACACACACACACACACACACACACACACACACACACACACACACACACACACACACACACACACACACCACACACAACACACACACACACACACACACACACACACACACACACACACACACACACACACACACACACACACACACACACACACACACACACACACACACACACACACACACACCACACACACACACACACACACACACACACACACACACACACACACACACACACACACACACACACACACACACACACACACACACACACACACACACACACACACACACACACACACACACACACACACACACACACACACACACACACACACACACACACACACACACACACACACACACACACACACACACACACACACACACACACACACACACACACACACACACACACACACACACACACACACACACACACACACACACACACACACACACACACACACACACTCACTCACACACACAAAGTACATATAGAATATGAAGACATGTTTAGGTAGACAAAAACAAATTCGAAGACCGCCCATCTGAAAAGAAAGCAATACAGTATAACGCAAAAGGATGATATCGTTGCCTGCGCAAATGGCCGACCCCAGACGACCCACCAGCCGGGATATTTGCTGAAGCCAGGCCGCAGTGCGCAGCCTGTGCTGTTGTTCACCAGCCGGAACCAAGAGCCCACCGTGCGTAGTGGCGTGACGCCGAAGGAAGCGCCCGGATCGTCTAGCAGCACGTGCCATACACCGCCGGCGTGGAGCTCGTCCTGGCTGCGAGCGAGGCGAGGCGGGTGAATAACAGCCGGAGGAGTGAACGCTTGACATAGGGAGCTTAGCCGCGAGCTACATGAGCATTGTGTGGGTTTCTCTTCATGACTGGTTGATTTTGTCGCACGGCGACGCGCGGTCGTAAACGCTATTCAGAAACAGCGTTTGCCTTTAGACTTCTCACGTGCAATCGCACACAGTTTGAATATGGTGTTAAAGTGATGTTTGCCTGTTGGCGTGCTCTGCCATAGGAAGGCACAAAACGAAAGCGTCAGTTTTTCCAAAGATTGGGGTAGTTATGCCTTTGCACGGTAGTGCTGATGCGTGATCGCACACGACACGTGCATTACGCTCACGCAGTATTCGCCTGCTGACAGGCAGTTACCATCCAGGCTGGCGCTGCGTCGGCAACCGGCGCGCCCACCTGTCCGAAGCCGGCGACCATGTACTTGTCCGGTGTGAGGGGAGCTGGCAGCCGGTGGACATGTAGGTGACGCTGAGTGAGCACGTTATCAGGCGCACAACGTCGCCGTGGGCCACCGCCTGCGAAGCGTAGTCAGGAGATGCCGGATTTACCAGCTGGCGCTCGTCGGTCCGCGTGAACATCCTGCGAAGGAACGTCACTCGGCTAAGCGGGGCTGGCATTTTAAATGGAAGAGTCCGGTTCGTTTCCCCGCCGATGCATCCAGATTTTCGAGTTAAAGGTTCGACGCAATGATACACATTGTGCGGCATATAATAAGTCTGATAATATGCTTATCTTGTTGCCACCAAGCCACAGTTGATATCACTTTTAAATGATGTAACAGATGATTGGAATGGACACAGGGATAGAAACCAAATCATTACAGTTGAAGAGCGTACATGCTAGAAGCAAGAAATTAAAAAAAAGCATCGATTTTCTGCTGCGGATGAAAAGCCTGTAGCAAATTCGTGGAGAAATATACTTTGCGAAGGGAAGGCTCACTCCCACGCCTGAGCCCTCCCCCAACTGGCTTTGTGGGGCTGTGCTCCTCCTACACATGCAGAGAAAATGTAGTCCAAAACATATCTGATTCGAAATGAATATTACACCCCACTTCATGCTATATGTGTGAGCACAGGTCCTCTTCCTCGACACCACTCAGCACGCAGACCTTCAGCCACAACGCTCACCAGCCGTTGAGGTCGTCGAGAAACGCGTCTAGTGCAACGACTTGAGTCTCGGCGCCGAACTCATCGGGGTAGGTGTCATACGAGGTCGCCAGGTAGCCTCTTGCGCGCGCTCCACTCAAGAGCGTCACGCGCGATCCGTCGGTCACCACTGAAGCGTGCGAGTGAGTGGCATTGAAGGTGGTTACATTTTGCTAGGCGGTTCGCGCTGACATATTTGGACTATGCAGCGCAATTTCTTGGCCAATGGGCGCATCCCGAGCATCACACGCACGAGGGTCGGCGAGGCAAGCCCCCTGAAACTTGCGTCATGGTGTTGTCATGCATATGTTAATATTATTTTCGTAGTCTATTGTGAAAAATATGCAACACTTATTGATAAAGGCACAACAAAGCTGTTTCTGTTGCTTACGTTTACATATATATCATATATGTAAGTATATATAAGTCAAATTGTTGTGAAAAGTTGAAAGCATTTATCAACACAGTTATAGCAGGATAGTGCCCTTTTATTGCGCTTGAAGGGAATGCACAAAGTAAATGCTATAACATTTGAAGATATTAAAGCAAACATAGCTCACTTATCACTATTAGTATACTTCTAATTTGAAAAGAGTGACACTGATAGCACAATTTCTCTATTACGTAAATGTGTTGCTAAACATGTCATTGTTTCATTGCACCACGGAACGTTTGCATGACATCGGGGTGCTGCCAAACTCGCCGGGCGGAATTACCACTCTAGTACGCAGTCTCAATAGCGCTTCAGGTCTCCGAAGAGGTAGCCGGAGCGGTACTGGAAGTACTTGCCGAGCCAAATGTCGTTACTTGCTCGTGTTTTGGCCCTTTCGCAAGGTGCTCTCGCAAGCTCATCAGAGAGCTTAAGATGTTTATGTGCATTCATATGCTCGGTTATGGCGCTATACTTCGATAAGATTCGATCACAAACCTTATTTTCGAAATGAATACTAACCATGACAAACCTCTTATATCATGCAGCAAAAAAAAAAGATGATTCGTGATTACAATTTGAATAGCCTGTTCAACAATCACTGAGACCAAACTCACGTCCATTTATTTGGAAACCGTGATCACGAGCGCCAGGTCTGAACGGCCCGACCGTAATTGCAACGCCAGATCTGAACGGCCCGACTGTAATGCAACGCCAGATCTGAACGGCCCGACTGTGATGTTCTTGATATGGAGCGCCACGAGATGTAGGGGGGGTGGGGTTTGAATGACGTTGCTATGGGGTCATGCATGCCTAAATGACCCTGAAATGGTCTGCACATCTTCGCGGACATGTAGCTCGTAAACTAGATGGTCTTAGACCCTAAGAAGGGCAGGGCTATAATCTGCATGGAATGATTTTCGAAGATGACTATGCCAGTTCAAAACCACCTATAAATGTGGAAAACTACATTAAAGGCATCTATGAATGCTAAGGTAAATTGGTGTCTTAAGTTTTGCTGACAAATAAAATTCGTGGCGTTGGGATGCTCTGTAATACGTTAGCTTAGTTGGCTAACATCGCTACGTCAGATCGGTTTAAATGGTTGGGGTGGAAGGCTTAAGATATTAAGGGAAGGAATGGGAAGGATTGTTTGGCTTGTCACTGCAGTTCAAGCCAGGTCCACTAAACATACGTTCTGCAAAGTTAACATCGTAAGAAATTGACCAGGATTTCTCGTGAGTTTATTTGACATATTTAAACAGTTTTTTTAAAGTTTTTATTCTTTACATTGTGGGTTTTCTTGTTTGTCTCTCGCGTTTCTGCATATGGCAGGCATGCACTTAAAAGTGGCAATGATAGTTGTTATTATATAAACTGATGCTTAATTTCAAGTATTTCACCCTATCCCAGCGACAGTGTAACTGACATGGAGAACACAATACTGCATACGAAAGCTGTAAGGAGATCAATATGCATTCAGGCCTCATGAGTAACCCGTCACCAAGCATTTGAAAATCCCCTGCCAGTACTCATCAGCATAGGCCATGCTAAATCCTGAACCGAACATAATACATGACGGTCACGACTGTAATTCAAAATAAGGAACACGTAAGGCAGCTGTGGGGTCTCACGTTGCGTGCGGCCCAGCGATTTTCTCTCTCCTAAATACGGACTCGGACACACTGCGGCACAGCAACGTTTACTTAGGAGCTGGCTCCTAAACTGTCGTGGTTGGCTGATCAAATCTTACCTGGGGGTGTGTGCCTGGAGATGGCATGATCAGAAAACGAAAGCCGGAATTGCGCGGAGTACAAGCCGATATCAGGCGTGCTGAAACATTGAAACACCACTAGTAACCTTGTACAGAACGCCGCGGCCAGACGAAATCAGTGGAAACAAATTACGTTCAAGGGGTGTTTCGCATGAAAAGATATTGAGACAGGTATTGCATCTGATGGGAAAAACTCACTTGCACTCGTGTTATGCCGGCATTTCAAAGACCATCTAGTGCAGTTCACAGCCCTGCTCTTTTCAAGGCTTAAAACTCTCTCGTCTCTGTGCTCCACACCCACGGACACGTACAAATATTTCGTGAGGCTATTTCAAGGTCACACCGGGATGCATGACGCCATAGAAACGTCAAACGAATAGCTGACATCTCATTGGTCGTGTAACGTTCAAGGCCACGACAAATATGGCTATCATATTGGTTGTCGAACCTCTCGCGTCCAGCGTAGGTTAGCACGATTTCCGGCGTGAACGAACTTAAACTGGCCGTGAACCAAGGTGACCTATTTCATGCAAGTTTGAATCGCGAACATCTTAAGGTCAGTGCGAAACATGGCGAACTCACTCTGCCCCCTTATCCAGAAGGTGCAGGTGAAGTACAAACGTAGACATGTACAGGAGAATCGGCACCAGTATCAGACAGAAGCAGCGGGCCAGGAAGTGCTTGATGACATTCATCTGAAATGTGAGGTGTCAAGTTCGGCCATCTTACAGCACTATGTGCCGAACGACAAATTGAAAAGAAAAGGTGGCAAGGAACGCTTTGCAAACCGTGCGAAGCAAATGCAATTTATCCATTCCGAGATTTAACTTCGTTTTACACCATACGCAACGCACGTCATTGTTTCAAATCACACATCTGGTGAAGATAGTTAAAGGAACCATAGATGGTTTTCAGACATAGACAAAGAAGAACACCCACGAACTTTTCGAAGCCAAGAGGATGACTAAGTGTGCATGCTAAACGAGTTATGAACGTTTTGTCGAGATTTCAGGAACAAGGCAAGAGACAAACCCTACCGTCCTACAAGTTGACACTGATTTGGGCATCACCAGGCGAAGCAGCTGTTCATCGCCGCCACATGTGCACCAGTGAGCCAACTTCGCCGATCCTTGAATGTAATGGATAGCACCGGACTTTGCAACGCACAATGCGCACAACGTCCCTGAACACGTAAATATTCAGGTCAAGTTAAATCGCCTTGACAAATCCGCACTCGCTTTTCATTAAAATTTTAAAGGAAAAGTGAGTGCGAGACCCAAATGTACTCGGTGTGCGTACCGTTGCCATGACTTCCGGGCTTTCAAGTCGTTTTCATCGAGCAGAAATGACCGTGGGTACCAGTGCTCATTATGCTGGGAGAGGTTAAGCCATTCTATCGGCCAGCATGCCGTATTACATGTGGTTGGTGACTAAATCGATAAGGTTATGAAAGGGAATTTTCCACATTTGAAGATATTGAGGGAAGCACATTAGTCATTGGTATGCTTTGAAGTGCAACATATTGTTTTAAACAGCAATAATTTACTATGCAGTGAACATGTCACTCAGTACACCATCGCTTGGTAATGTAGTGGACCGTTTTAATGAGTCAGATACGCTACCAGACTGGTTATAGCAGAGCTGCTGCTTTAGTGGACAAGCGAACGGTGCGATTTACTTGTTGGATTTCTACGGGCCGCCAAATGGCGTTGTTGGTTGTATGCGTGTATGTTGATGTCAGAAGCTTTATGTACGCGCGATCTTGAGCCTTTGCCGTGGTGTTTTTGTATGCTTTGTTTCTGTGACGGCATGCTTTGTACTTGTATTTGCATGTTTGCATTTTGGGCTACGGAACTATTTTAACTCATTGGGATCTTAGTCTGGTGTCCGTCATAACTCTGTCATTCAACGATAAAACGGCCAGAGGACATCATGACATTCCTTCAAATTTGACGAAAACAAACTTATGAGATAATTACTCGGTCAAAAAGTTGCAGAGCTTTACAAAGTAGGATGCTTAGCTCTGCAACCATATGATATGTACGATTCAAAAAGTTCCAGAGCTGTACAGAGAAAGATGAAAATACGCGATGATATTACGAACCCTATTTTTTCAATTTGCTCTAGCGAAATCAGTTTGCGGAGTATAATGTTTGGAAAAAGTGCATCGGAAAGCTGAATACCAATGCTACTTCTAAACATGGACTGCCATGGCTTACCAGGCTGACCGAGGTATCGCAGTACAACTGCCAAAGGTCGTGCACGGCCCGCAGGCCCACCAGCAGGATCACGAACATGCCGACGTGCTTCACGGCTAGCGACAGGCCTAGGAAGACGCCGGTCACGAGCAACCACAGCCACCAGTGTACGGCGAACGGTCTGTAACGACACGGCATTTGGATGGAGTCCTGGGGCTTCTGCAACGACACGGCACGTGACGGAGTCCTGGGGCTCCTGCAACGACACGGCATATGACAGAGTCATGGGGCTCCAGCAACGACACAGCACGTGACGGAGTCGCGGGAGCTTCTGCAACGACACATCACACAACAAGACATCACGTAACGACGCAGCACGTGACGGAGTCCTGAGACCCCCTGCAACGACAAAGTTCGGAACAGAGCTCCAGGACCACCTGTAACGACACAACACGGTACACGGTTCCAGGAGCTCCCATAACGACATCGCCACGAAGTAGCGTCCCGGGAGCCCCTACAATGACACAGCACGGGGTAGAGTTCCAGGAGCTTCTGCAACGACACAGCACGGGATGGTGTTCTGGGATGTCTGAAACAACTCACCACGGGATAGAGTTTCGAGATTCTGAAACGACCCAGCATGGGGCACCGTCCTGAAAGCTCGTGCAACGCCACAGCTCCGGAGTGTCCTGAGACGCAGTGCGACAAAGCATAGGACAGTTGGAAACCATGTGAAGTCACAGGATGTGGCGGACCACAAGTGACTCTTAACAACAACGCAGTGCGTGACGGTTCCTAGACTTGATGTGACAAATCTATGCATACTCGCACACACACACACAGACACACACACACACACACACACACACACACACACACACACACACACACACACACACACACACACACACACACACACACACACACACACACACACACACACACACACACACACACACACACACACACACACACAAAGACACACACACACACACACACACACACACACACACACACACACACACACACACACAACACACACACACACACGCACACGCACGTAAATGCTGCCTTCCTCACTGAAATGGTTTGATATTGCAATGGATTCAGCGCTGGGCGGAGGTCCGTGTTGAAGTATAAATACTCCAGGCTCCCGCTATCCCGCCATTTGATGAAGTGTTCGACGGCGTTTTACGCATGATTGAAAAAATGTGAGTACAGATTCCAGCAGTTTAAAGCCCATGATTCAAGCTGTACATAAGGACTACTCCGTTACATAGCATTTACGTTTGCTTGCCCAGTGATAAATCCAAAGAAAAATAATACGTACCTATCCGCGCAGGAGGAGAACTTGATGCTACTATACGTAGACTGCAAGATGAACCACAGCAGGATCGGGTCCAGCAGAACAAGCCGATTGTACGCATGTGCAGCAGAATCTGCAGCACTCCCAAAAAATGATTAGTTCAGTCGCTGATTTTGCAATAGTAAATGGAACAATAACTTGCACATTATGAAAAAATATTGACGCAGGCGCAGCGCAAGTGGGCATCAGCGCAGCCGGCGTTAATGCAATGGAAGACATAGCCCATGCAAAACAGCTGAGGAGGAGGGGGGGGGGGGGGTTGTACCATGCATCTCCTGACACAAAGTCTAATGGCCTACGCACTTGACAAGTATGGTGCAAATTTTTAGATGCAAATCGCTTCATGTGGTGGAATATGTTTTGTTCTTTTAGGCACTAACAAGTCACAAGGAGCATCATCCTTGGAGGAGCATCATCCATTAAGGAGCATCACCCTTGTGATGTATCCAAACGTAGTGACGTCACGAGAACTAACCGCAAACGATGAGCAGTGCCGTGACGTAAGCCGCCGACAGCGACTGGCTGATTTCCCACACGATGAGGAATGACGTCATCACTTGCAACACTCCAAACAGAGAGATACCCTGAGAGAGACGCTTCATGTTAATGCCAGTGCGATGGCAAAACAGAGCACACACCGGCCTCCTGGCGGGGTAACGACACCAACGCTCGTATACGTCTGAATCTGGCGGTCGCTTAGCTCCACCTGGCCAAGCACACGTCTTGGGAGGAAGCGCAGTGGCGTATGGCGATGCTTGGAACGCTCCCACGCCCCTTTACTTTCCCTCAATCATTGCCAACACCATTAGCACCGCTCACCGACCGTACACTGAAATGAATAGATATTTTAGTTCATAGACATGCATCACCGCCCTCATTCACCTCCAGTTACCGCAATCACAGCCCTAAGATGTTTTTGGTTAGGACAAAATAACTGTATCCTAACTGAACGAAGCCCGGATTGAGAACTCTGCCGAGGGCGCGTCCAGGTAAGAGCTGACCCTGTCGTTAGGTCGAAAGCACAACGGCTCCCCGTCAGTGCGTCTTTCCTTCACGTTTTCGACCACCGGGTACTTGCCGGTTCGGGGTCATAATGCCGTATGCTTAACGCCCTCTGCTCCCACGTGGCAGGTCTGGGTTCGAACCCGGGTTGCGCCATGCTCCCTGAACGCTAATTTGCCCCTCACAGCCGCTGGCGTCCATAAAGAGGTGTGCAAGGACGTGTGCTCTGGACGGCAATCTCACAATCCGCAGACAGCTGTCCTCCCATCATGGTGTCACCTGTGATTTGGCAACAGTTCCTCTTAGTCCACGGCAATATAATATTTTGTCGGGTGGCACATGTGCATGTGCGTGGCAATACCCGCTGCAGTTGGGTGTGCACTTCTGTGTTCCGTTGACGAAAGGCAGTCACTTAGGCGATACTATCACTAAACAACATTTTCTCGCCGGCCACAACGGGCCCTTAGAGCCGAGCATTCCCTAAACTTCCTACGCCGCTTTAAACCCATACAAGTAGCTTTATACATGACATCAGCAGAATATTAATTGGCTTGCGTAAAGTTTCACACGAAGACGCCAACAGTCTACGCCTGTCTTGTCGTGAAGACAGGGTGATATAAGGGAGGACCTCGCTTTGTGGGGTTCTGGTTTTCGATGCAAAGATACCTCACCAACTGCCTACATTAATGCAGAGATTTCTCAACTGTCTACATTGGTGAAGAGGAATCTAACCAGCCATCTACATTGATTCAGAGATATCTTACCAACTGCCTACATATGTGTAAAGGAATCTCACCAACTGTCTACATTGAATCGGCGCGGCTGCTCTCACTCAGAGCGTCTGTAGCTCGAAGTCGTGGGCCTCGGCTCGTCGGCCGTTATTAAAGGGCCCCGCGTCGACCCAACAGCGTCCCACCTGGCCACGCTGCTCGGGATCGAGGATCACCCCACGCAAGGCTACTAGAGTAAAAGGGCACGCAGATGTGACGTCACTATGAGACTAGTTTGGCTTTTGGTTTGGTTTGGCTAAAGTTTTGTATGGCTTTTGGTTGATACTACAAAAAGGTTGGGATATACTGGTGGCATGATAAAAAACAGATTTCGATAATGGGCTAAGTAACAACCTTGCTATACAACTTCATTTCACTGTCATGTTTATCTGTATCGTACATTTTTGCATTTCAAATCTTCTTAAGACAAATCAATACTAGGATATGCTTCCAAAATGTATCTACTAAACCAAGTTTTCGAGCTCCAGCACTCGCGCCACATTCGTCGTATTCAACGCGCCTGAATAGGTATATGTAATGCCTTTCTGTAAAATGAGTATAAGTATGCACATGAATAGATACTTTAGGTAATGTTTCCTTTCAACTTATAAATTAGCATTGATTGCCCATTTATTTTCATACCGCAGTGCCTATATGGAGTGAAAGGTAAAAATAAGGTAATATGAGGAGGCCAGGTGCCAATAATTTTGCTGCTGCTGTGCTAATGACATTCCTAGGCGTTGGTAACCTTGCAGATTCATAATGTCGGATGGTTGAGATGAAAAAGATGCGCAGGGAACAATACCCGAACTACCCCAATATATCCCCAAGAGTGTCTTTGAGCTGGGTTACTGGCCACAACTCTGACGGGCAAAAATTACAAAATTACAAAAAACCGCCCCATTTTACAGGGAAATGTCCTATCTTGAACTGAAACGCCGCGCGTTGGATGTACGCCTCCCGTGGCTCACCACTCACTACCCCATTAAGGCAGACCAACCCTGCATCCACCCCGTCAACGTCCTTCCTAAAGCTGCAGGATGCGTATTCCAACTTCTCAGTGCGGGTTCTTCTCCCCGGGTGCTGCGAGCCCGTCTGGCCCGCCGTTTTTCATCCTCACCCTATGGTGTTATTGTTGTATGTTGTACTCTTTACGCAGACTGTTTCTAACCACTTCCGGCTAAGTTTTTTTGTTGTTGAATGAATCACTGGTGAATAGGCTATCCCATCTCTCTGCCGGAGACACGTTGGAAACGCTTTTCAGCAGTACTTTTGTAGTGCTGGTACAAACCAATGTCATTTCCAAGCTAAAAATACTTCATTAATTGTGCTAGGTCAAAACAGTCCGGTTTATGGAGATATCTACGTTTAAACCAGCCTGCAAAGAACAGCATTTTCACGCCACCGTAATGTTGGTGCCATGCGATTAAGTCTCATGATGATGTCACAATATTGCCTATCCAGAATGCAGTAATGCGGGGGCTTGACTTCATGTACGGTAGGACTAGAGTCACGTCTTGGACGACAGAAAGCACGAGGCGAGATGCACGGGAATGCGAAGGTGAGAGAGGATCTCAGAAGCAATAATTCTTATTTTAGCAATATTCATATATACTTACATATATATATATATATATATATATATATATATATATATAAATATATATATATATATATATGTACTTTTTAAGCAATAATTATTGTTCAAGCATCCGCTCCAAGAGAGGATCATCTTTCGCATACCGTGAGGCCAGGCAGGACTCCGCGCGAGAGCTGGCCGGTGTCAGATGACAGCCCACCGAGCAGTTCTATTACAGACTGTGGGTCGGACAGTCCCAGTCCAGAGCTGCCGGCCGAGCAGTCCTAGTCCAGAGCTAGTGGCCGCGCAGTCCTAGTCCAGAGCTGCCGGCCGGACGGCTTTAGTCCAGAGCTGCCGGCCGAGCAGTCCCAGTCCAGAGCTGCCAGCCGAGCAGTCCCAGTCCAGAGCTACAGATCGAACAGTCCTATTGCAGAGCTGCCGGTCGGACAGTCCCAGTCCAGAGCTGCCGGCCGAGCAATCCTAGTCCAGAGCTGCCAGCCGAGCAGTCCTAGTCCAGAGCTGCCAGCCGAGCAGTCCCAGTCCAGAGCTGCCGGCCGAGCAGTCCCAGTCCAGAGCTGCCGGCCGAGAAAGCCTGGCGCGGCCGGCCCCGCGCGCGAAATCGAACAGATTGCGAATCAACTTAACGCTGAGTCGCTCAACTCTCAAAAAGAGATCAGCTTTGTTAGATTTCGTGCTTGAAAATGCTCGGACACAAAGACCAGCCTTCGTGTCGTCATGTCTGTAGTGGGATCAAGTGCAGCGTTCTGAACTTGCCACGGGTAATGTCTACTCTGGTTGGACCAATGTGTCGCGGCACACTGCGTGCAGGTCTATAGACACGCATGTAATAAACACAGCAACGACGTCAACGATGTGTGAAGAGATTGGCAATGTGCCTATCGTGTCACCATTACGATAATGCACAAGCAGATTAGGGCGAGGTCGGACTTACAGCGCCGTATGCCTTAAAATGTACATTGTGAATCACTCATACTGGTATTCGTACCTAGAACGCCAAAGAAACGTTAGTTTTAAAAAGACGGCCCCATCGACCACGTAGGCAGCTGGAGGGGAGGCGGCGGAAAAATGGGCATCTGTTTGCAGGATATACGCTCACTTGAAACAAAGCCAGCCTTCCGATATCTGTAATAGCAACAGCGGCGACAGCCCATATCGCTGACAGGTCATATCGCTATGACCTTGCGTTTCAACCTTTGGGCTTGACCTTTGATACCCAGCAAAGCACACCGGAGCATCCAAGTGCAATACTTACAATCCTCATCAAGATGTACCAGTCGTCAGCGCGGGTGTTGGTAATTGAACTCGTAGTCGAATGCCATGTACCGGTCCTGGCCCTGTGATGTACCCGATAGAAGCCACAATCATCTGTTGGAAGACAACACATGCGAATCTGACGGACCACACAACGGAGCTAGCACATATGCTGACAAATAACAGCCACACATCGTGAGTGCCGATGATATGACTTAAAGTAAACTGAGTTATTCTCCCCCTAAGCTCCCAGTTATTAAGAGCTGAGCTGACAACAATTCTAAGCTGAGAACAGCCTGGGTTAACGTTGCTTTGTGGCCTGAGCTGACAGCGCTTTTTGGTCGGAGCTGAAGGTACTTTGTGGCGTGAGCTGACGGTGCTTCGTGACCTGAGCTGACGGTGTTTTGTGACCTGACCCAACAGTGCCTTGCGGCCTGAGCTGAAGGTACTTTGTGGCGTGAACTGACGGTAATGATAATGATAGCAAATTATAATGATAATTGATAGCAAATGCAAATTCCTTATGTGCCTTGCGCTGCACCACCGTACGGCATAAGGATGCGGGAACCGGGCAGCGGCACAGGGGCTGAGACTCAAAACTCTCTGAAAATTTAGCATTGGCCCTGCGGGCGTTGACTGGAGATGAATGATACAAGTAGTTATCTCGCTCTTTCCTCCCAACTTAGGACATCACGTGGTCCAAGCCGGTGGAAACATCTGTTCACGGTATCGTAGTTTCTCCTCAGCGCAGTGCATGTTATCATTTCGGCTAGTTGGCCATAGCAGTGTATACACGTGGTATGTCTAGCTGGCGAAAGCCTTTGTAAGGGTGCCATTTATTATATTTTCAAACCGGAGCTACGCTATGGCACTGACGCTGTTTATGGTTCGGTTCTAAGCGCAAGCAAAACTTTCTCTGACGTGACGCGCTTATAACGGCAAAAACGGTCGCGCATTGCAAGAGGGCGGTCCCCTGAACGCCTCCGTAGGGTTGGAATGTGCGGCTTCTGCTCCGCCAGGAGTGATATTGTAAGAAACGTGAAAATAAGATGAATCGAATAAAAGAAGTCCCCTCAGATAAACCCGTGCGTGTGGTGCGTGTCAGAGCATTTACGACCCCCTTAAAGAATTTCCAGTGCACCGTGAATTTGAAAGGACGAATCAAATAAAAAAATTCTCGCGAAACTATCAGTGCGATCTCCTGAGACGCAAAGCCAACATTCCTCCGAAATCTTGGGAATCTGGATCAAATTTCTACAAATCGCCCAGTTCCTAGCGTGGACCTCCTAACTAATGAAGTATGTTTCCTTGGCCACATGCTCGGCTACGTCCCCGCATTTCCTTGTTTTTGGAAATATTGGAGCCTAGGTCAACTGATCTTATTTCAGACAATTACTTTCACGTTCACTGATTTGACCTACTCATCATAAACTGATTAGTATTACAATGATTGAACTATCTGTATCTATCACTTTCAAGGGTTTCGGAACTGGAAAAGAATAAGGGCATCCTACAGATGTCTTTGACTGGCAGTGTAGATGCAGGGATCACGAAGCCCGCCACTCAGGGCATTGCTCTAAATTTAGTACCTTCAAGTCCGGTCAGCCACTGGCGGATACTCGCCGACAGCCATTCCGCTACATATTTTAATGCCAGCTATTTTTGATAATGATAGCGTCAGATGACTTACCTGAAATTTAGCCGTCAGTTATAAACGGATCACGGTTGCGTAAGAAACGTAGCTTTTTTATCGATTTCCGTCTGGCTTTTCGAATCCTTGGGCGCTCAGCTTCCTCACAATCCCTCATGTGTCGCACCTCCTGTTATCACTTCTTTGGGAGCTCACGGAGATATCGTATACTTTGGGCATGACACATTTGGTCTCATAAATATATGCACCAATACATACCTTTCCCAGTGGCGGATGAACATCATGAAAGAATGTGCCGTTAAGGTAATGCTGGGAAAACCTCAGAAAATGCGACTCGTCCCATCTGGAAGACGTAAACTCAACTTAGACATGGCCAAAGGAGAGACCACTTATCCATGTTCACAACCATAGGTCACACTTCTTGTCGGGCATAAATGGCTATCAACATTTGTTATTATTCTATGCATCACGTCCAAACTTCATTGGCACCAGCTCTCTTCAAACCATGCGCGCGAGCATCCGCAGCTGGCTTACTATTGTCGGCTGACTTACCCATGAGCGACTTAATGGAGATAAAGACCTAGAACACGTTTTGTGGTATCTAGGGCTTGCACTCCAGAGGTTACTAAGAAAATCATGGATATACAGTACTAGATCGAATAGCAGCTGTCCGCCAGTACGCGAAGCCGCCGCCATCTCGGTAAATGCATCAAAACCGCCTGTGCGGGTTACGCGGTGCGTTGGAGGGGGTCGGCATCTGGTGATGGGGGCAAACGTTTCGTTGTTTTATGTCTTTCGTTGGAGATATTGCGCGGTAGCATGGTCTTTGCAAGCAACAGGTTTACCCAACTGGCCATAGATTTGTGTTCTCATGTTATTGTTGTTAGTGTTGGCGGTGCCCGTGGGAGGCTCCAATTAGGCCGGGTGGTTTGCTTTCAAGGGAGGATTTATGGTCCAGTTGGGGTCAGTACTCCCCGGTTATTAGTGTTGGCGGTGCCCGTGGGAGACTCCAATCAGACCGGGTGGTTTGCTTTCAAGGGAGGATTTATGGTCTAGTTGGGGTCAGTACTCCCCGGTTATTAGTGTTGGCGGTGCCCGTGGGAGGCCCCAATCAGACCGGGCGGTTTGCTTTCAAGGGAGGATTTATGGTCTAGTTGTGGTCAGTACTTCCCCGGTTTTTATTGCTGATGACAACTCTCGACTTCTTAACTGATATGTCTGACTTGCGTGTAGCTTCACCAACTGCGTACCTTTTCATGGTTGTATATCAGGGATAATGTAATTACTAATTCCTGTCGAAATAACTTCCTGTATAGTTCCTAAATGGTGTCTCTTTGGGTGTCAAGTCACATACAATTTTAAATACCTGCTGCTTTGTCTCTGTAACAAACATTGCATTCGATACGATGTCCTAATCCTGCTAGTGTTTTGTTGTCTGGTCCTAAGGTAGACACGGTGCGTTTGTTACTGTGTAGAAATCACAGTGGCATTAATGGCGATTATACATTTTGCGTACAAATTTTAGCCAGTGCACTCTCAAAAACTTATTGTAGGTGCTATGGATGCAAAAACATTTTTATAGTGAGCCTTTGATTCCTGGTATCATGTTTAACTACATGGGGACAGCTAGAGTTTGTTAAGAGGATATTTGCCGTTATTTTTTGGTCCTTTTTAGTATGGCAGAAGAGAATTGTCAGTACAGAGTGAAATCTGGTTCTCTAAGTAATGCTCAGCTCCTGTGATCAGAAACTGATCCAGAATGCATGGAGGATGCACTTAGTTTGAATTATTCGCCTACGCTGCTACCCTCCGACAATAGATAGGTTATCATTATGCACATTACACAGCCAACTCTTATCTATCGCCCAGACAAGCCTGACATATACCAGCAAACAGTTGTGGATTACCTTAATCTTATTCGTGGTTCGAACTAAAGTTTTGAGGAAAATTGCCATCTTGCCTAATTTACCATGTTGAGTGTTTCCTCATTTCTGCATTCCACTCTGTTTTGTGAATCTAAGATTTGTAGATTTTTCATTCTTCAAATGTATATTTCAATTATTTCAACATTTGGTTTGTTTTAATAATTTAAGCATGAATGTTTAAATAGGGATTTTATATTGCAAGTTGAACTGCTCTAAGGTCTGATATATTTTTTTTTTCAATGACCTGAATACGGTTTCTCAGTCCTAATTTCATGGCCAAATCACCTGGGAGATAATTTGGCCAACCAGGTTTTAACTTATTTCCCTGTACATTGATACACATAGCATGGATAAGAGCTTTAAGTAGCATCCAGTAAAGCTACCGCCTTGGTGCTGCATGTAACATTTTCCCTACGTTCATCCACAAGGAGAAGTGTGAACAACCTATGGTGGCAAAGCTGTGTAAAAATATGTCACACACATTGCCTTGGCTTGCTGGTGAATTAGCACTTAAGATGATGATCCACGGCCACTTGATAAATGCTTGTAGTGATAAGTTTTATTGCTTTACTGTTCACCACCAGCGGTGACCTTGATGAGCTACCCACTAAAAGAGCGTTGACTGGAGTGAAATAAGGTTGTGCCCCTTGTTTGGCAAGCGACTTAAACGGGACGCAGCAGGAACATCACAAGGCTGGATCCCAGTCCATCCCGGCTGTGGGTCCAGTCCCAGTCAGTGGGGTGTCGATGGCACGCGTGGCACGAGAAGCACCGAGATGCTTGATATACTGGACGAACCTCACTACCGGCTGGGACTGTCCCTCGTGGTCCCTAATGCTGCGTGCTCTGCCACCGTGCTGGTCGTCCGGAGGGCACCGGACAGAGAAGGCTGTGCTGCCTGTCAAGAAGTGCTGATGACCCATGAGGAGTCCGATAACCCTGCATCCTTATCCCACTGTCTGTGGTCGCAAAATCGCGGTGGGCTGATGAATCCCTCCGCAAGGGCAGTCAAGAGATGGTCCTGAGTGCTGAGGAGGAGCTCCGCCGCTACATTGTGCAGCTGGACGCGGCTGGCCATGCAGTGCCCTAGCGGATGCTGGAGAGTGCGATGCTGTGCTGCATCGGTATCGATGACGTGCGAGATCCCGGCTACCACCCCCTGGAAACTTAGTGCGGTTTGGAAAGCCACCACACCGAGGCAGAGAAACGGGATCCGCAAACAAATTACTAGAGCAGTGCTGCTTGGAGGGCATCAGGCAAGCTGTAGGCGCCGATATTCTGTCTTCATTTTCCGTTAGCGTAACCAGCAGATACCCTTTTCTACAATTCTCACGCCTCTCCGATCGTTGGGTCATCCCGCCTATTCCCTGCTCTCTGATTAGGCTTCTCTTACACATGATCAGGCTTTCGTTGGAACAAGTGGCTGCGTTTTGATGTGCGGTGTTGAAGTACACAAATTTGCGCGCGACGTTTGATCAACGCCTTGTACCAGTTAGCTTGTATGATTGTTCGTAACTTGTTGCAGTTTATTGTCAGTTCGCAGAAAAAGTGGGCGCGAATCCCGGGTATTATTCTTGGAAAGACGTTTGTGGCGCCCTGTGACCGTCAGGTCGGCCGGTCCGGTCTAGCCTGGTCGGATATCCTATTCCCGTTATTGCTGTGATGATTATTGTTGTGCTGTAAGCAACTAGCTGGTCTGGAGTGCTTATAAGTATTCATTCCACTCACTAGAAACTGACTATCTCCTGACCTGGTCAGGTACCGACTTGAGCACTCCATATATCTGAGCGTGGCAAGTACTTGTGTCGTTCACCTGGCTGTGAGGGCCGTGGAAGGTGGCGAAGGCAGCGGAAGGTGGCAGTCACACCACGCACGATGCAGATTCGGCAGCGACTCGTACGTCGGCGCCACACACTGTGGCTGCCGGCCCGTGGACGCCGACAGCACCATCGCGACAACAGGTGTGCCAACGTTCCACCCCACAACAGTATCAAATATCGCGCCCCTGGGCTTCCATCACAGAATCCAGCACAACAGGCGGGTGAACCCTACACCCTTATCATGCAAACGCCAGGTGGAAAGAACGGTAGTCCTGCCGATGTTCGGCGTGAGCGCGGCGAAACCAGCTGGACCAGCGGAGGGGCAGCGGCGGTCATCAGGGGTGGGCCTACGCTGCTGGGGCTTTCCGAACGGATGTCGCCCGTACGCGTCGGATACGGCCGCAGCCGACTCCCGCGGAGTTCCTAGGGTGCATCAGGCAGACAGGAAGATCGCCGCTCCACCATCGCTCGGTGTTTGGACGGCGGACCGTCCACTCAGGCAGCGGTCGTGGAGGTTGGCGGCGAGGGATTTCTCTTTACAGGTAACCCATTAAACAGTGAAATAAAAGACGTAGATGTTTAGGATTGTTGACATATGGATTTAACTCGTAGAGACCTTCAACATCGGTTCTAGCTTTATATTTTGCTTCCACGCTATTACACAGCGGCCCCCTCGCCCCATTCCTTGCGATAGCTCCGTCAGCGCTGAGTCTATGCCTTGTTTTTACCGATATGGCGGCCGGCTTTACGTACCAGCTAGTGAGCCACCCCATTCACATGTCCCATCAAATCTACACATCTGTGACGAAAACAGTTGAATTGTGTTGGTAAAAAGAAGGCGAAACCGGATGAGCTTTGTCATATTCTGAGTTTTTCGAGCTGTCACCAACTTTTGAGTGGCCGCAGCAATGTTTCGAAAATTTCTGCAGTGATCGCATCGGATAGCTGCAAATGGGGCCGTAGTGAACGAGCGATGTCCTACGTTTGTCTATTGGAGCTCGGGTCCGAATGTCAGTAACTCATGACCACTGAGTATTGATATGGCATTTACAGTCGCTGACACTCTATAAAAGGATGAGCGATGACACCCCTCGCATCTCTTACATTTTTTTTTACTGAAGGCATCCATCCGAAACGTACCAAACACCGGCAGGGCTTACCTATTCAGACAAATTAAACAAATTCACGGGCCTGGACAGATTCACCTGATGTTGAATGCATATCTCACCAAGAGGATGCACCAGCACACGAGTGGGTGTGTGAATGCACTGTCCCCTACACAAATGCGAATACAAAGGCACTGACGTGACTGCCGGTGGCACGCCGATATTGCGCATGCGCAGCAGCGTCGTTGTCAGGATGACGAGCAGCAGACATCCCCACCACGTGCAATTCTGCTGTAATGTATTGCAGAAAACCTTGCTGTTGCCGGGTGTCCTGTTGGTACAAAGGCACCTCGTCATTTGCACTTCTGTCGTCGCCACTAACCACCAGTCAACGATGCGTGCACCATTAAAACAATTATGAAATACAGCAAGTTGTTTTGGTACCGTAGCGCAATTGCAAACATACTGGATCGGCACTCTAGAGATGCGGGTTTGATTCCCGGTGAGCAGACCCAAATTTTGCACTCTAGCAAACAAGATTGCCTAGCTGCAAAGCTCCGAGAGAGCTCTACCTTATCAAAGCTGAAGAGCAGCTGCATAAAAACAGCCTCGTTGGCCATACTTCGTTGAACCTTCTTCTTTTACTTGTCGGTAACAGCTATGTTTGCCTGTTTCTGTCACCCTCCAAATCTGAGCCATCTGCAGAAAAATGTCTCATGTCTGTCCCATGTGTCCATGTGATGCATGTGCATGTATTCAGCTTTGGGCGTTATTGGCAGCCTCCCGGGACAATGCAAATTTCCTCGAACCCTGTGCACTCCAAACGAGTATTTCATGACTATCCCAACCAGATTCAATTTTCCGGGACCACCAATATATCTTAAACAGCTGACTGATTTGCCCAGTTGGCTGTGCAGCGAGTCACGTTACGACCAGCCAGAAACTCCGATTAACCCACGACGTTTGATCTTCTGCATGATGCTCGTCATCAATCTAAAATCGACGTGGTGTAACTCGTAACGTGCATGCATGAAACGCAATCATTCAGCGGGATCGCCCATCCAGCGCTGCTACCTGCACAAACTATCCATGCGATCGAATATGGCCTCAGGAAAAGACACAGAAATGCAAGAAAAATACCACAGCCTTCTTATTCAACATGCAACCACATCTACCCATCTGCTGTCATCTGTCTACCCGTTTCTGCTAAGCGCCTGCATTTTGGAACATTTTTGTTTAGCGTTTTGCACATTTGGGAGCATCATCGCTACCATGCTTTGTCACGAATCGCCGGCCAAAGAACTCTCTCGCAAGTACTTTTCAAAAGCCACCATTCGTTTCCACCGACCTGTCGCCACGGGTGGACGGGTCCAGCTCGCGCGGAACACCGCTCGCACGCAGCTGGTATCTCAGTGGCGTGATGAGCTGCCGCTGCGGTGAACTGGTGACGTCACGGGTAACCGGGTGCGAAGATTGATGTAGCGAAGATTTAGCCGCGTCGAATTCGTCGACCCCCATGTCTGCAGGCATGGCGACATTCGTCAAACAGAAGGTTGATATAAGACTTACAGTCAGATGTTCGGGACGTCTCGACTGCCTGACAATTTGTGTTCGAGAATTTGTAAACACGCTGACTAAAAAAGGCTAGCTTTGGAGCGAGCTTTTGCGTACCATCTGAGCTAAAAGACTGATCACACTGTCAGTTTGATAATGCGGGTTGTCACGATTGCCTCCAAATTGCTGGCCATCTCGAGACGCTGATTCCGAAAACCATAGGTTGTGGGTGGGATTTTGTGCAGCTTCCGGGTTATAAGACGCGCAACATACCAGTTTGATGCTGCGAGGCGTCTCTTTTGCCTCCGAATTCGGTTGCGGAGCTTTCTTGACACGCTTATTTCGAAATCATTGGTTTTGGGGTGGGATTTTGAGCATGTCAGAGTTTCAAAACAAGCTATATTGATATTTGATGGCGTCACAAAAACCTATCCCAACATTCATGAATTTCAGAATCAGCCTGTCGGGAAGGCCCCACACACCAAGTTTGGAGGCAATCGAGATGTCTCACAATATCGAACTGGTATTTGACACATCTTATACTTCGAAAGTTACGCAAAGTTCCACCTCAAAACTAAATATTTTTGGAATCAGCGTGTCGGGAGGGCTCCGCACACCAAACTGGAGGAAATCTAGAAACCCCGCGAGATCTAACTGCCAGCCGGATATCACTCTGCTGCTAGAGCGACGGGCAGAAATAAATCATCCATCGCCAAAAACAAAAGCAAACAAAAAGAGCTGGTAAATCCGGAGCACGCAGGCGTGGAATGATGATGTCGGGGAATGGTGTTCTCCCTAAAAGGGACAGAATTAATCAGTCAAAACCGAAGGCGACCGCACACAATTCTTGCTCCACCATCGGATGACCTGATGCGCGAGAGACAAGGGAATGCTTTCGAGCAAATACCACTTCTGATAGATATCGGCGATTTTTTGGTGACGCATAAGAGGTGATGATCAAGCGGTGATGTCCAAGGTACGAGTTCAAACGGGGCCAGGCTCACCGTCTATGAGAAGCGAATGTCAGCGATGGAGCACTGTCTATCTGAGCGTGAAAAGACAGCCTATTCCCCGATTTCTTAATACTACTGCCTACCTTTGATAAAGCTCTTTACCCTATGGGAAGCATGGTGCCATGTGGTCTGGGAACACACAAGCAGCGGATTCGGCCTTTCCCTGATGTTTTGATCAATGACGGTCCGATTTTCTCCCAGGAATAAGAAGTGATTCATTGTAACGAATGCTGCGTTTGCAAACTACGATATGGAATATTTTGAAATGCCAGAGATACAGCGAGTCAGCTCATAAAATCACGAAACTGCAGTGAGCTTTTACATGCACCTTATTGTATTACACATTAAACACGTACGGTATGCTACCTGTGTATATTTGCCTGTACATTATGTACATTATCGCATACTGTGTATATACCGCACACTGGACCAGCCGGCTCATCCTGCACAGTCAGAAATCCTGAAGCCAAAGTGTCTCTCTTTCAGCGTTAACACGGGAACACACACTGGGACAACAGCGCGACACACCCGACGCACTCACCTGCGCTCCAGCCTCGTACTGACACCAGCCTACGTACGAACTCGTCGCTCGATCAACACAGCGCGTCCATCCCGCCACACCGCACGCTGGTCAGCGGCCCGGTGAGCAGGGCGTCTTCTGCAGCGCCCGAGACTCCAGTCCGGTCGCTGCTCAGTCTGGAATGGCGCAGCGAAACGAAGCGCGCACAGCCTCCGGCTTCTTGCGCCGGCTGCATCGGTGGGGTCGGCGACCTCGGGGCCGCTTCACTGTCGCCGAACGCCAGCCACAAATTGCAGCCTATGACGTCATAGGTAAGTGCATCACAGCAGTGCGGGGAGCTTGCGGCTTGGAGCACAGTCGTTTGTGTACGACGTAAGCACTTGCCACGTGGTAGGCGGCAAATCAGTACGGTACTTTACAAACGGGAAACGCGGCCCACACGCCGCACAGCTGGCGAAGCTACTTGGCCCATCCAAGGTCGGCCGAGATCTGCCAAGGTTGGCCGGCTGGCCAGCGCTGTCGGAAAGAGGTCAGCTGCCATTTGGAAGCGATGTTGGTGGATGCATTGGAATCACAGCACGTCTGTGCAAAAGGGGAAAGTTGACGGTGAGAGCGCAGCACTGCGTAGGTGAGAGCGGCCCTGTAAAGGTGAGAGCACAAAGCTTTGACGCTGAGAGCGCGGCGCTGTGACGGCGAGAGCTCGACACTGTGACGGTGAGAGCCGACACCGTGACGGTGAGAGCGCGGCATTGTGACGGTGAAAGCGCGGCCCTGTGACAGTGAGAGCGTGGCACTGTGTAGGTGAGAGCGTGGCACTGCGCAGGTAAGAGCGCGGCACTGTGTAGGTGAGAGCGTGACACTATGTAGGTGAGAGTGCGGCACTGTGTAGGTGAGAGAGCGGCACTGTATAGGTGAGAACGCGGCACTGTGTAGGTGAGAGCGCGGCACTGCGTAGGTGAGAGCGCGGCACTGTGTGAGAGCATGGTACCGTATAGGTGGGAGCGCGGTTTTACACGCCTTACCGTAATGCTGCCGTCGCACTGTTCGGTGTCATGATTGGCTGTTGCACACTCGCACAAGTTCAGACTTGGACTTCCTCGCTACTTCTACGAGGGCGATGTTTCCAGACGGGGGACGGATTCGTCGACAGGAAGGGGACTGCTTGGGCATGGACCACGTGTTGGGAACAGGGGGCTGTGGGGGCCAAACCCTTTGCTTTTCGAAGGGTATTTTCGGGGTGGGTAAGCTAGCAATGTGAAACGTCTCGCCGCCCTCACTTCTTTAGAATCGCTCTGTGTTTAGCCAATTTTTTGCCACATAAAACATGCAGGCAAATCTACCCAGTTCACCAGCAATCTTCCTCAATGCTCATTTGACCTTGTATCCTGAAAAAACATTGCTTCGTATGACAAATGGCAGCATCATTTACTACCATACACAGGGAGCGAATGAAGGCATTTTGAGACGAAATCCAGCACTCTCCAGTACCCAAAGCTACGTTAGGCATGTGGTTGGCAGGATAAGATATATCGGGTGGATGAAGTTCAGCACAGAGACAGCTGCAGCAGGAAGCTAGAAATATATTTAATGTGAAAGGTCGGCTTAAGTTCTAGGATATGCTGGCCCGGTCTTGTCGTCTTCCTATGAGCACAGGTGAGCTGTATTCGTGGTTATCCCATGAAGACAAGCCAAAGATACCAGCAAATGTGCCCCATGACTTGCTCTCTATTTAATGGCCCACACAATGGAGAAATTTACCGCGGACGCTCCCGAACATGTTTGGAACAGGGCTGGTGGCTATACAGCATGGACGTAATGGGTATGATGAGAGCCAATACTGATACCCATTCATGCCTGACAAGTGCGACTTTTGGTCGTGAACGTGGACAAGTGATCTTTCCCAGGGCCATGCCCAAGTTACGTTTGCCACTTTGATAGGACGAGTCACATTTTCCGAGGTCTTTCCTAACATTGCCTTAACAGCACCTTCTGTTATGTTCATCCGCCACTGGAAAAGGTATGTGATGGTGCACAAGTTTCTTTAGCAATGTGTGCCATTCTAAGGTGTATGATCTGTCCGCGAGCTCTCAAAAAGTAACAACGAAAGGCGCGGCACAAAAATAGATAGTTAACAAGCTGGATGCCTTTGGGATTTGAGAAAAAAAAGACAGAAGCGATAGAAAACTACGCTTCTTACGCAACCGTGATCGGTCTATAAATGAAGGCCAAATTTCAGGAGTCACCCGGCGGTACCGTTATCAAAAATGAATAGCGTACGCTCCCCTTTAAAAAATAAACCCTTCAGAACAGCTTGTAAGCACGCACTTCCCAGAACGAGAGGCCAGCTATGAATGTGGGCTGGCGATTTGCATGAGGCATGTTGAAGGTAAATCAACTTTGATTTGAACGTTACCCCCCTACGTCCAGGGGTGAAGCCATCAATTTGTGATGGGGGACGACATTTTAAAGTCATCACAACGGCGGGTATGGACATATTTGTTGGAGATTGCAGAAGTATCCCGCTATTTGATGCGTGTGCATGTACTGCTTTTTGTAAACTGCTCATGTAACGACATTGGACCTTGTAGCGGAATAGCTTACAGCGAGTATTCCGCCCACAGGGTGTGCTCTGGTGTCTTCAGCAAAACAGAAAGGTGACACTGTTTCTAAACCCTGCTGCGGATTCGAACGCCAATCTAATACACTTGTTACCATGTGCAATGTGCTGGCGCGGTGCCGGCCGCTGCCTGCGTCTGTGTGAGGTGCGCGCGGCCCTCGGGCGCCTCAGCTGCGCTCAGAGGCGGCCGTGGACCGCTCATATTCGCGGTCAAAACAGTATTGACACCCGTCTGGCCGTGGGGTGACACGTTTTGGGCCAATGTCTTTTAAATTGACGCTAAATCTGAAAATAACATGTGTTATGATTTTTGGCAACGATATGGTCCTTTCCAAATTTAACTCGGCGTAGCCGTGCATGTATTGAAATACGACTGAATCAACGCAGTGCATCATGAACGTTCCCAATGGCGCCCAAGAACGCTTCACAACCAATTCAAACAGCCCCGTCAAACAGGAAACATTAACAGAGAAACAGGCGTGTCAATGTACAGGCTGGCGGGAGGGGCGCGCGGTGCGGCTCGTTCGGCGGGTCACTGTCTCGCGTCGCCCGCCACAGTAGCCGGACATGCAGCGGAGGCCCAGCGTCCCCCGGCCAGCGCCGCTCCCGCCGACGCTCAGCCCGGCGCCACGCCTACCGCTGCTCGGTCAGCACCGAGGCGAACGTGGGCGCCTGTCGTGGGGAGGCGAACGCCACACCGCCCACGCCGCCGGCCCCCTGGGCGGGCGGCGAGCGGTGCGGGATGTCGGCGGCGCCGGCCATGTTCAGACCGACCCCCGGCAGGTCTAGGTCGGCCGGGGAGCGTGGCGCCGCACTGTCGGGCGCTGACGTCGCGGCCCCGGTCGGCGGTGCGCTCCGGCCCATCTCGGTCTTGAGCGGTGCCAGCAGCTGCGGAAAAGAAGCCATCTCCTCGGCCGAGGCCAGCGGCATTTCCTGCTTGGCGGCCGCCGGCCAGGAGAAGGGCGAGGCGGGCTGCGAGCTGCCGGCCGCGTACAACAGCGCCGCGCCGTCCCGCTCGGGCGTGGCGAGCAGCGCCGCCTGGTGGGCAGCCGACATCTCGGGCGTCACGAACGCCACCTGGGAGGTGCCGATGGCCCGCTCTGGCGTCATGAACAGACTCTGCGGCGCCAGCACTGTCTTGTCAGGCGTCAGGAATAACGAGCTGGTGGCCAGACCGTCCTCGGCGGCGGCGGAGACGGGCCCGCGCGCGCCGGCCGCCGCGTACAGCGTCGCGCCCTTCTCCGGGGTGGTCATCGACTGGAAGCCGAAGAGGCCGGCGCCGGCCCAACCGCTGTCCTGCACGCTGAACTGAGAGGAGCTGGTCTCGGGCACGATGTACGTCATGACGGTGGCGCCCTCTGGCACGTCCGAGATGGGGCCGGCCGGCGCCGGGTCCAGACTCAGCAATGTGGCCGAGCCCTCGACCCCGTCAGACACCTGGCGGCCAGGGAGGGAAGTGCAGCTTTAGAGGGCGCTGTGTGCGGCGCGATGTCGCGCTGCCTACGCTAGTCCGCAGCAGTCACCTTGTGAAGTGTGGCATCACCTGCCACACGTGGGCTCGCAGCGGTCGTGTTTCTTCACGTACGCTGTCCTTATCGATCGGGCCGTAGACAGCAATGCAAAGCTATCGGACATAAGAGTAAACTCATTTGAAAGGCCCATTGAAGTTTCGCAGGTCGGGGTCGTTAGTGCAGTTAGCGAAGTTTGCCGCGGGAAAGAGGTTATCTGACCTGCTGCTGGAAGTACTGCACCGGGTGCGTGCCTCGATGGCAGGGCCCGGCGGTACTGTAGGCGTCACCCTCCGCCACCGTGCTGTACTCTCCGAGCACGTGTTGTTCAGAACCCTCGTACACCTGAGACATGAACAATTGTAGCCCGCCAGCAAACTCAGCGTGTGGCAGGAGCCGCGTCAAGACTGTAGCTGACGCGGTTAATCGGCAAATGATAGTAAGCCATGAGTCCTCTGTGATAAGCTGTACCATAATTATGACGATATTCCAACCACCAGAGAGCTCCAGAGGTAAGTGTTTCCGTGGGAACACGAGCACATCCCAGCGTACCACGTTCCATGAGGCGCACGCGCAGCGCAACTCTGCGGCCGTGGCGCGCGTCGGCGGCGCCGAGAGCCCTACCTGGTAGCCGCCGTCCATCATCTCCTGGCTGGTCTGGTCGGCTGCGAACGCCTCGACCACCTGCTCCTCGCACGGCTCGCCAACCACCTCGAACTTGACGACGGACGCGTCCCCGCTGTCGGCACTCGCCTGGTACAGCGTCACCGTGTCGTTGATCATGGGTCCGAGGTCGGCGGGCTCGAAGAAGGGGCGCCGCTCCTCGAGCGGCCGGCGCGTGGTCGCCCGCCGAGGCAGCCGCTTCACCTCCGGGTGCTGCTTGCGGTAGTGCTTGCGCAGGTGGTCGCGTGTGAAGAAGCGCTCCGAGCAGAGGTGGCACTCGTACGTGTAGCGCGCCTCGTGCACGTTCATGTGCTCGCGGTACTTGTGTTTGGTGGCAAACGTGCGGCCGCACACGCCGCACGAGTACGACTTCTGCGAGTGGTGCGTGCGCGTGTGCGCCAGCAGCCGCTGGTAGCCCTCGCAGCTCTTCTGGCAGATGTCGCACGCGAAAACGTCCTTGTCGTGCGCCAGGTTCATGTGGCCACGCAGCTGGCGCAGCAACCGGAACTCCTGGCTGCAGAGGCGGCACACGTGCTGCTGGTTGTTGTGCGAGCGCGCGTGCCGGTCCAGGTTGGAGCGGAAGCGGAACGTCTTGTTGCACGTCTCGCAGCGGTACTGGCCGTGCCGGCCGTGCGACAGCTGGTGCATCTTGAGGTTGTAGACGCGGTTGAAGGTGCGGCCGCACTGTCGGCATGGGAACTCGCGCTCGTTCGGCCGAAACTTGCGCTGGATCTTGAGGCCAAAGCGCTGCATGTGCTCCACCTCGTGCAGCAGCTTGAGGTGGCGTTTGAACATATGGATCTGCGTGAAGAGCCGGTCGCAGTAGGGGCACTGTACGCGCGCAGCCAGCACCTCCACCGGCTCACACTTGCTGGCGTACTGGCAGACGAGCATGTGGTGTTCGTACTCCGGGTAATCCGGACACTGGGTCTTGCACTGGGCGCAGACCAGCGCCTGACAAAGCCGGATGTGCTGGTCGTGTTTGGCGTTGGTGATGAACTCCTCTCGACAGAAGAGGCACACGATGTGGCAGTTGATCTCGTCTCGCCAGTGCTGGAATAGGCCCGTTCTGTCGTCGAAGCGCTTGGTGCAGCGGTAGCAGCGCAGCACCGTGATGTTACTGTGTCGGTCGAGCTCGCGGCAGCCGGTCTCGTGGCGGGGCGCCTCGGGCACGCACGGCGCCGCCTCGGTCGACTCCGCCTCCCCGGACGGACGCGAGAAGTTCAGCTGCCGGAGAGATCGCGGCTCACCCAAGCAGTCTTGTCGGCGGCAGCACTCGATTTGGGCGGTCGTCACAGGCCACATACGAGAACTATGCCTGCCTTTACCAGATACGATAGTCCTTTTACGATTGGTGCGACATTTGCTCAGGTGAACCAGGTATCGTAATGCCAGAAACGCTTTTATGATGAATCTATATGCGTGCGTGACTTATTTCCAGAACAAAGGTCACTTATGAAAGGAGCCGCAATGCAGCTGGTGGTCGACTGTTAAGTTTGTAATGGAAAGAGCCCCTTAAGCTGGAAAGGCTTGGGGTAGAAAACCTGCAGGCAAAACCATCGTGAAATGAAACATACCTGATGGAAAATGCTCATATACATGGATTTTCATCAGCATATGTCCAGGATGGATAGGCTTCGTAATGCGTACGCGGGCTATCCGTAAGATTGTTTGTGCAACAGATAAGGCTCGCATTCGAAAAGCCCGTGACAGTTACGGGTTGTATGCAAGCGATCCTTGGTAAATGTTTTCCTGGTGAAAGAATCACAGCGACAAAAGTGTGCCGGCAGAGGATCGTATGCAAAAGCTCGCGTCGAAAGATGTGTGTTATGGACAAAAATGTATCTAGCTCAGGTTGATAATAAAAAATAATTTGGTGTCGACGACGTTTATGAAGGAAAATTTCCATAACATACAGGCTTCATGACTTAGTCGCCCTTGATGACTATGCCGCCGACAAAACCGCTCGTGCAATGGAAGGACCATGAAGGTAGACTGCGCATTTGTTATGCTCAATATGATTTGGTTGGGGAGCGTTAACATCCAACTGCCTTAAATTGCATTCACCGAAACACATTGCCCACACCCATTTACCACGCCGCCTGCATTAACTTATTTAAAACCACATGAACTAAGACCCCTGCGTGCTGCACCATCACGCGCGTCGAATCTCAACCCAGCCCTTTGTATCTCCAGGCAATGTCAAAAGGCCTGCGAGAAACAAGCAACGTCGGTGCACGAGAAAACCTGAATATCCACTGCCGTTACTTGGGGAACGGGATAGCGCACGCACCGTTAGCACATGTCGGGACAGCACATGTGTCGTGCCGTCATGGGACCATGAGCAGCCAGGGTGGGCCGGCGCGCTGCCGTCGGCCTGTGGCCCACCATGGACAGCCAGTGTGGGCCGGCGCGCTGCCGTCGGCCTGTAGCCCACCTTGCGCAGCATGTGCCGCCGGCGCCGGCCGTGCTCGCCGACGCTTATCTTCTTCTCCATCTCGCCGAGCGCCTGAACGTACGCCTCGTCCTCATTGCGCAGCTGGACGCCGCTGGGCCCAGGGGTGTGGATGTCGCCCAGCGCCTGCTCGACGCGGTGTACCTTCACGCCCCGGCTGTCCATGGTGGCCTGGTACAGCGCGAACATGTCGATCTTCAGCTGGTGGTACCGCACGCGCAGCTGGTTCATAACTGTTGCCGCTGCCGTAGCGCCGCCAGAACCTGCGGAGATCGGGAAAGGAGCGGGTGGGGAGGTGCCGGCGGTACGAAGATTGTGAGCATGCACGAGCGTGGGAAGGCGTAACACTGGAAACTCCTTACTGTTGTGCAGATACCAGTCGAGTAAGTTGTTAACAATCTGCGACTCAAACGCAGGATCCAAATAGCAGTGTTCAGAGGAACGCCAATGCCCATATCACTGTGAGACGTCTGAATGCCATTAGCCATTTAATCAAATGCCATGCCTAAGTTCTTAGTATACCGCTACGATCCATATATATCGAGGATTATCCTCCTGCGAGCATTAAGGGCAGTTTGACATAAGAACGACAAAATCGCATTATGCGCTGGCATGTGTTTCAGGCAATCCGGCCTTCAATAAAGTGGGATTTTACTGCACTGTCCGTAAAATCTACGGATGGCACTTTCTATAGGATTACATTGGCAGTCAGGTAAGATGTCATGAGGCAGTTTATCGTAAAACAATCCTGTTGAATTGAGCGGGCTGGCATAAAACATTCGTTTATCTAGTGCTATGCACTATCGAAAATAAGCAGCAAAATCAGGGCTGATTTGGCAGCAAACCCCTTGGCCGATCGTTTGTTCGTTTGGCGCTGGGATCAGGGCCCTCGCTAAGTTCGTTTCTCGCGTCGGCACATAACCAAAAACACCCAGGTGGTCCGAGCTTAACAATTTTGCCCCAGCCTGTTGGCGAAATAGAACCGACGATTTTTAAGGTTACAATAAAGTGCATGTTATTTACACATTACTTCTAGTTAGCCCATGGTCTAAATCTGTTAACGAGCTCACCGTTGGGAGAAGGCTAGTTCGTCGAGCCTTCGTCCCCTAATCATCTACACAAAAAATGCCTAAAACATAAAACACATACACACATGCACCAAATATATGTATTTGCATAAAACTATGGGTATAACTTAATTGTTAACTCGGGATGTAGCTGCATCCCAATCATGTCAAGAGATAAATAATAAGCTTATGGCATAGCATAAAAATGGACCAAACAATGTCATTCGCATGTGCAATTTTGTTTTGAAAGGTATCGCGTCCTCCCAAAACGACACCCCTGACAGCAAAAGAATCCAATCGAGCTGAAAGAAAGTCTTCAGCTGGCGTGCGTCAACGCATGGAAAATGCCACTTCAAAACAATGTAACCTAGCAAAGACATGCAATGTTCGAATGCGGAAAAGCAAATTCGTACAATAAATACCAGAAAAATGGACACGAGTATAAACACTTACACGAAAAAGGACCTGCAAGGAGGCGCATTTTTGTGCTTAGCGCGTGTTTCTGCTCTACCCGTAAAATGCCTTCATGAACAAAGACACGGTTTTCTTGGGTTTCGTCCATATGAAAAAAGCAACGTCTCCTCGTGCACACATTAAAAATACGCTTGCAAAAGTGGGTACGCACCTGGGCGCATGCCATTCATTCAGTCACTCAGAATGACGATGGAAGGGCTCGTGAAGACCCAAAGCGCCAATGCCTTTGAAAACTTGCATGGCTATTTCACATCATAGACGCAAACTTAACGTAGCGTGTCTTACCTTTTTCTTGAAAAAACCTTGCAACGACAGCCTTCTTCGGGGCAATTACACTGGCTGGATAGGAAATACGCGGACACAAGCTACCCGCAAGCTTCTCCGTCACCAATTGCGGTAATTCCGGTTGCTAAGGAACCGACAACAAAAGGCGCACGTTCTTGCGCCTGGCCTCTTTGGCAAGTGATCCCCCAGTAACAATGTCCTGATGCGTGCAGCTAGCCTAGACGAAAGACAATAGATGCGCATAGACGTGACAGTGGCGCATTGGGCCGTCGTACGTTTGCAAATTCTAACTTATCTTTCCCATTCCCGGATTAGAGATTTCCTCGGAGATTTCACCGGGGAGGGGGGGGGGGGGGGCGGAGGATTTAAATGTCTGCGTATATGGCAGTCAACACTCGCGTCTTAAATGACGCTCTCGGCTTTAAAGCAGTTTATAGGACGGTGGGCCAGTCAAGTCTGTGAGGTGAGGTTTGTTTTCGAGGAAACGGCGTTAGGCATTGGAAGGGCCAAAAAGCACCAGCTCCTTTCTGAATACAGTGCATGGCTTTTTATCCCATGTTGAGAGAATAGTGTATGCCTTCAGAAAATAAAGGTGCATAATCGCTCAATCACTGCTGACTTGATCAAAAGTTCAAGCGTCTTGAACGCCAACGCAACGCATTTATCTGCCTACACACCGGGGATAACTTCCGAGCACCACCCCCCCCCCCCCCTCCCCCATCATGCGAGGCCTTACATCGAGCCAAGTAGAAAGGACAGGAATAGCAATCTCAGGAGGTTATGGGAATGCACGATTGTTATATGAGTGTTACATTTCCCAAAATTTTGTTAGGTGCTACCAAGTGAATAAACCAGGCACGCAAATGATGTTTTCCCGTTCTTCCACCCCATCAACTCATCATAAATTACCTTCAACATGGTGTGAGGCCACAAGCCCGGGTGATTAGGCCAGACACCGATTGAATGCTATTCGGCCAAATTACGGGAGAGGACTTTCACTTCTTTCCGTGGTGCGTGCTTATGAAGTCCTGACTAAAGCGCATGGGCGCTGAGCAATTGCACCCATATGAATACCGTTTGAAAGTCAAAGTTCAAGCGGATGGTGATCTTAGTCAAGCACATAAGCCCCAATTACCTGTGCGATACGACAATATATCACCATTCGCTTCGCCTGCATTTCCGATCATACCACCACAGCCAGAAAGCCGAGCCTTCAGCGACGCCTCTCTGATCCCACCCGTGCGTTCCAGTTGCCGCCAGCCGAACTGCTGCGGTTTCGCAGCACCCCGCGCGACGCTGGGTTCGAGGCTTCATTGCAAGCCTCCTGAAGTTGAAGCGGCCAAGGGAAGTATGCACAGGCAAATGGCAAGGGAACGATGACCGCGTGAACACCTAATAAATCAACTGCTGCCGTTGGCCAATGAAGCCATTGTTACTAATCCATGGGCGGACATGAGATAAGCTTATATCCTCCGTCACACCGTCAGCAATTGTCACCTATTGATGATTAGTCAAGAGCTTTGTAGCTCGTGTGGCTTTCAGTTTTTATACGTTAATCTAGCAGATTTCGAGCTGCTGTCCACCAATCAAGCATCTCTATCAGAAGTGGAACTCTCCGAAAAATGTTGATGGTACAAACGCGTCCTTTGGGTATATTCTTTCTTTGCAATACCATGGACGCAATACTCATTTCCGAAATGTTCGGAATGCAACTGCATTCTCAATTGGCAGTCAAGTTACACCCATGATCTCTTTTTCTAGATTTCTGTCACCGAGAAAAGTGAGAATAGCTTTTATCGTCACCTTGAGCCAAATCTATCATGAACCTTTGTTGTATAACTACAAATGCAGCAATCAAAGTGAAATGAAGTGTCATGCGTCATTAATATAACAAACATTCCTGCTTCGGAAGCTTCATTTGCACAAAGGTATTATTCGCTGACTTTGTCACAAGCTCCGGTGGTTTGGGTGCAGGTCTGAAAGCATGAGTGGCCGGTGCAGCGGGCTTAAGGCCGGTGAGCACGTCGGTTCGATTCAAATCAAAGATGGAGTGTGTACGGAGAAAGGCAAGGACGTGTTTGGTCAGCGGGCGCATTATAACCATAAAGGACACGTAACAAACCGCATGCACTTTCTCACCACATATTTGGGCAATGGCAGTGTTGGAGGAAGAGCTCTTGCGTGGTTTAATGCGTCCATAAAAGCTCCACCGCTTCATTGCCAGTTGTACACTGTCATACACATTGTCGGTTGATGTTACAAACTGAGTTACCTTAAATAACTGCTATGTTGTTTCATACTGCAGCTATGGCCTATGCATGTTACTGCAGCATATTAAATGAAATCTCATGGTCTTCTATACTGCCCAAATTTCAAATCTCCAGCATTTACAGTCCACGCCTTTGGAATTTTTACTTCCCTTCTGAGAATCACCGACAAAAAATCCAACACTGGATGATCAATTTCATGGTCTTGTTTGCATGGATGGTGGGTCAATGCCCGCGTTATAAGCCGTGCTCAGCGTAATTTCTCGATTTGTTCGGATTTCAGGCGCTACAGCTATTTGTTATGTGACGACCTTTTCAGTGTTTCGCAACAATTCTGATTTCAGCGCCGCTCACGAACCCAAATCACCCATTTCTAAAAAGCATTTGAACGCCGTACATATGATACGCCGCCCAGAGCATCTGTCCGCCAACCTGCTGTGGGCATCTTCACGTGCAGCATATTAAATGTTCCAGCTGTGGACTTAGGATCTAATGACCACATGTCAGGAACTCCTAAAAATGCTCTGCATCTTAACGGAGCGTGCGACTCCAGTACCTCAGTGCAGCGGCGGTGAGCCTGTCAGTAGAGCGTCACTGTTTCAACCACTGAGAATATCGAATGTCCGGCACAAGAGCGGCCGGATGTCCGGCACAGAAAGGGCCGCTTGTCCGAAGCAGGTACGGCCGTCGAGCACAGGAGAGGCCGGTTGTCCCCCCTAGACTAGCCGCGTGCTGTCACATGGGGGCCCTTGTGTCTAACACAGGAACAGCCGTCCAGCACTGGGGCGGGCGTGTTTCCGGCACAGAAGAGGTCGCGTGCGCGACACGTGAGAGGCAGCCTGTCTATTATAGGGAGGCTGTATGCACGGTACGGGAGAGCCCGCATGTCCGGCACAGGAGAACCCGCATGTCCGGCTTAAGAGAGGCCACATATTCGGCAAAGGAGTGGGTGTGCGTTCGGCACTGGAGCGGCCGCGTGTCCAGCACAGAAGTTGCCGCGAGTCCGACTCAGGGCAGGGAAGCACTGGCGCCGGGCACGGAGCGCCCTGATACGCTGCTTTTCATAACGCGAGCTGATCGGATGGGGCCGATGCGACCTTCTGGTGTTTGCAAACTAATGACAACAGGGTCCCACGGAAAAAAAGACAGTGGATGTACCTCAACAACATATCGCAATTGACAATAAGGCCCATGTTACGGAACCAAAAGTTGGCCCTTTTAATACACGTCAAAAGACAGATTTTCTCGAAAATCTGACGTTTCTATCTTCACATGCGTTATTGTACGAAATCATGCCTCGTAGCAAAACAGAATTTGAACAGGTGGATTTCTGCACATACGTGATACAGGGATCCGTTAATGTAACGGCTTCGGCCCGTCGCGCGCGATCCATGGGATCGGCGATTGCCGTGCGTCAACCGCGCCAGCACTAGATCGCAGTGCAATACTATTATGACGAACCGCGTGAACGAACAATATACGAACCGTCATTAAGGTAATCGATATATGACCAAAAACCCGTGGCACACTAATTTCTTGCAAATTTTTCGCTATTAACTTTCATAAAAACAGCCATTTCTTCCTAAGAAATCCCAGATCAGACGAACCCGACGATCGGAGAGGTGTGGGAATTGCAGGAAATCGTATGTGCTGGATACGCCACCGAACAGACGAAGAGAGAAAATGGACGCCTACAGCTGGCCTCATGTCCTCCGGACAGCATGGATGTAGTGAAATTTTTGTCTTATCCTGTTCCTCTGAGACGCGCGGCGTGCAGCCTCGCCTGGTGATACAGACACACCCGTCGGAAGGTGACCACCAGCATCCTGATCAGCTCGGTGCGGTGGCTTTCCAAACCATAGTGAACTTCTAGGGGGCGGCGGCCGAGATCCCACGCTGTACCGGTCACTTTACCAGTACTGACGAGGCAAACGATCACGCATTCAAGTCCTCGGCATCGAAGGGATTCATCAGCCAACCGTAGTTCTCAGCGCCAGAAGGTGACATAAGGGTGTGTGGTCGTCGGACTTCTGACGGTTCATCGATACTTCTTGGCAGGTGGCGCGGCCTTCTCTGTCCAGTGCCTTTCGGACGACGAACACGGCGATGTAGAAAACGGCATTGGGGAGCGCGAAAGTCAGCCCCGGCCGGTAGTCACAATCGTCCAGTAAACTGAGCACCTCGGTGCCGTCGGTGCCGTACGTGCCATCGGCACCCCGGTGACCGGAACTGCGTCCCACGACCAGGAGGAAAAGTTCTGACTGTGTCCCACGGCTGGACTGGAATGACGCCCAGGTGATTCTGATTTGAATTCAGGGCTGACAAAACCGTATCTAAATTTTTGAACACAAATTTAAACCTGAGAAATGTTTACTTATAAGCGCACGATAAGAAATTCACTGTTCAAATGATTGTAGCAGCCCGAATGCTCAAACTGTTGAACCCTGCTCTGTCCTGCTTACCCTGCTTTGCAATCAGCACGCATTTGATCTGTACGCAGCGAATATCGATGTGTCATGCGTTGACATCTAGAGGCCACCTTGTCATGTCCCGTGAAATGCCGAGAAATTCCGCCTGATGTGAGTTGACCTACATTTGTCGCCTTTTTACAGAAAATCAGTGTCGCAATTTCTCAAGTAGTTGAGTCCCATGTTAAAGTCAACAGGGACTAATGCATTGCGACAGAGACAGGTTTTACCCAAACCTTTATGCGTATAACTTTTGAGCTAGGCGCCTTTCCATCAAGCGA